ATTGCAAACTTTCTCACTTGTACCCTTGCTAGGCAGACGAATATTCGAGCAATGCATTTTAATAAAGTACTTTACAGGTTTTAGAAAACGATCTCACGTTATTTACTAATGTTCATGGAGTTCATTAAAAATAGATATTTTCAAGTCTGTTGTGTAATTCAGTAAAAGAATACTGAATTAAAAATGCAATTTTCAAGTTGCCGCGAAAACGTTTCTCTCGACATTAAGGCGTCTCACTAGTGTATGATGACAGTCATCTGTCATTAAAACGCCAAACAATACCATGTAATGTCACTTTCGTCGGAAGTTATACTAGCGTGTGACGTCATTGGCATAGTCTTGGCCAATCCCATTCGTTTTCGGTCACGTGACCATGGCGTAAAAAAATCATTTCTATTTAATGATTCTATAGAAAATTTATTAATTATTTGTTCTTCCAGAATAGTTAAATCGCTGCCAATATTTATATTAAATACAGGTGGCAGCAATTTGTACATAATTTTTCATACTTTCAAATACACGTCGTTACACTGAAATCTGCAGGAGGATCAACATAACGTAAACCGCTGGCGAGTCCAAGCGTTCTACACTCACTTCGTTTCCGTGTTCGATGAAAGCGTAGTATTCATATTTTGCATATACACAGTTTCAGAAGTGAAAATTACTATTATTTTAGAATTCGTTAGAAGCTTATCCGATTTGCATAACACAAGTAAATATGAACCATTATGATAACCAATATGTTTTGAATAAAATCGGCTATGCCCCTTATTTCTTTTACATTCTTTATTACTTACCACTGTACTTTATCAATTCGTTTTGTTCACAGAGTCGTTTGAAGCCGGGACGTATGTTGTTAGTGGACACACAGGAGAAGAAAATCATACAAGACGTCGAACTTAAAATGAATATCGCTCGAAGCCGCCCGCATTCCCAGTGGCTCAAGGAGCAGGTAAACAACTACTTATTTAAAGAAAAAACGAGCGAGCCTTACAGTAGTCGCGTGTGATGTGTAACATTTGAAGTCTCACCTTATATTGGTAAAAAAAACCTACTACAAAAGGAATAAGCCATTTGACATTATGTTTTAAAATCAAATCAAATAGCGCGCGCTTCCCAAACTTCCGTCCCACTTCACGTAATCACTCCCACAAATTGCACGAAAGCGAGAGGAAAGATGTTACATATCAAAAAACGAAAAATTAGCTCGGGAGTAATCTTTCAGTATGCCTCTTTTTCCAATGCCGGCACTATACTTGGATATTCGTATTTGCCATTTGTAAACTTGACAACAATCTGTCCTTATCATGCTCTATAAGAAATGAAAAGTTTAGGCTTATGTTAAGTTTACGAATAGCAAACACGAACAGCCATGTGAAGTGCCGACATAAAAAAGAAACGAAAAATAAGCTTTGAATAGTCTTGCAGTGTTTTCATATTGACTTTGTGATATGATATTCTCTAATTTCTATTTACATTTGGCTCTACCTTTTTGCACGATGATTCTGCCAATGACGGTTTCTGAAAGCCTAAACTTCCATGGTATTAAATAAAGTCGCTTTCGCTCTGTCTGTTTGTATATCCGCTAACTACTTCTCAACTACGCAATATATTTTGATTCCGGTATTTCACGAATTTCCGAATTAGATATTGTTTAGCAGAAGGTTTAATGTATAATTTGACAAGCCCAAGAACAACAACCAAGGAACTGTTATTTTTAGGACAAAAAATAGCAAATATATATGAAAATTTACTTCATAAACGATGAGGTACTTCTAACAAAAGTCATATAAAGATAGTCTGTGATAGCTCGCGACAATATGTAATCTGAATTAGAAAATGCACTGCCTTTCAGTAGCCTTAGCACGTGCCAATACCTAATTTGAATAGTTGAATTTTATCTCATTACGCGCCAAATATCAAGACGTTTTGTATGGAAGATTTTTGATGTGAAACTTTTTTGCGGACGTGGTGGAAAATGGAAAAATCCTATGGAAAAGATGAAACCGTAATGCGTCAGTGACACACTAACACACATATATATATATATATATATATATATATAAGTGTGTGTGGGATGCGTGCGCAGCTCTTGCCGACGAGCAAAAAAGAAACGAGAAAGTATGAGTAATACGAGTGATGCGTGCGCTGCCCTATTCCTCTATGCCTTATGCACCGCCTAAGGTTAGGTTATTCAAGAAAAGAAGTTTTACTTCAGATGTGTGGTCCGTGCACACTATTTTTTTAATTATTGTTACGTCCGCTGTGGTGCTATTTATTTAATAAACATTTATTTTCATTAAATACAAAAATCTAATTTGATTGCGTATGGCGACGTGTCGCCGCACCGTACACACTACCACATATAGACTGTATATATATACCATCATATAGCGTGATCGTCGCGTCGCCACGGCATGAGTCGCCACGCCAGAAATCGTTTTACGTGCCCCTTTAGATGTTTCACATCAAAACTTTTTGACATTTGACGCGTGTCGAGATCGAATTCGGTATTGATTCGTGGTAAGGGTCTCTGCATCATAATGTTATATTAGGATGTGTCCTGAAACGAAAAAAGCGGCTTCCGTGGGCTGAGAAAAAACATTGTTGCTTTATTATTATATCTATGGAATGTTGATTTCACAGGCATCTTGTGTAAATTGTGCACTCTATTCAAGTTTCTATAACGAAGGATATAATTTTGGTCTAAACTACTGTATACATCTATAAAGCTTGTTTATAATTGGTGACGTGTCTCTTGTTTCTCTGTGCTGCAATGGTCTGCGTTGGGATAACTTGAATGTTATATCAGATGGTGAGTGTTGCGTTGCTGTCGCATGAAATTGTGCAGTCTTGCATAAAGCTTAGGGTTCAAAATTGTTTTATGCTTATTATACTTCTTTCAAAAAAAATCATACGCGGTTTGATTTGGCTATATTTCATAAAAAAATATTGCAGTTTAAAATATGCAAAAAGGTTGTTTTTACTTATTGGTTTTAGAAATTTTAACGCTTTTAGATATTTACTATGACCGTAGAAGCTGTTATTTGATATTTATTTTTTTTACTTATAGGAGATTATTAATACAGCTCTTAATTATTGTGATTGGTTTGAAAACTCAATGAAAGCATTTTGTATTTATACGAATTATCTTCACATCTAGTGGGATAAAGTACTTTGCTAAGCCATGTAAGCAAGCAAGATTCACTTTGTTATTATTAAAGATTGTGCCAAACGGATAAGTGTAAAAGGCAACAATTACCTCCATAGACAAGTCTGTCTTTTATTTGTAGTATGACCAACAATATATTCTATGTGACTACATAGAATATATTGTTGGTCATACGTTGGCAATCTCTTGGCAATTTTCAATTGACGGCACTGTATGAAATTAAAAAGAAAGAATACTCAGTTAAATTCCATCAGTTTCTACTGAGGAGACCCAGTTAGAAAGACCTTTGGATCTTTCACAATAAATTTTCGAGTAGCTTTTTGATTATTACATGCACTTGTTCCACTTACAAAAGTACTCTCTTGACTTATCTGTCATAAAATTCAATTATAACGAGTGTTCAATGTGTTTTCTTTGGTTATTAAAAGAAATACGTTCGTTTCATAATCAGGTCAGGCCATAATGCGTAACATTTCCACTTTCCGTTATTCTTTTCATTTTATAGGTGAGAAATAGATTAGTTATGTCACATTACACTTTTCTCGAGCTTTGAAGAGGTAAGCAAAAAAAGCTTATGAGCCTCTCGTCTACACCTTTGTAGTGTGTGTAGTAAGTAGGTATTATATCGATATATGCATACACTAAGTACTGTAAGTTGGTATATAAGGTATATTAATAAGTTTATATTGAACAAATGATTTTACAACATTGATAGATCACGATGGAAGACATTCACAAGTCACTGGGTCCCTCTGGGAACGGCACCATTGCCATAAATGGCAAGAGTGGCTCCATCACTGGCCTGGGAGACAAACGGCTCAGTCTGTTCGGTTACACACTTGAGTCCATCAACATGCTGCTCGTGCCCATGATCCAGAACAAGTGAGTCCACACCCAAACACTATCGTTGATATTGATAGATTACATGTGAGGACGGCACCATAGATATAAATAACAAGAGTGGCTCCATCACCGGCCTGGGAAACAAACTGCTCAGTCTGTTCGGGTCATCAACATGCTGCTTGTGCCTATGATCCAGAACACGTGAGTCCACACACAAACACTATCGTTGATATTGATAGATTACATCTGAGGACGGCACCATAGATATAAATGGCAAGAGTGGCTCCATCACCAGCCTGGGGGATAAACGGCTCAGTCTGTTCGGGTCATCAACATGCTGCTCGTGCCCATGATCCAGAACAAGTGAGTCCACACCCACACACTATCGTTGATATTGATAGATTACATCTGAAGACGGCACCATAGATATAAATGGTAAGAGTGGCTCCATCACTAGCCTGGGGGACAAACGGCTCAGTCTGTTCCGGTCATCAACATGCTGCACGTGCCCATGATCCAGAACAAGTGAGTCCACCCACACACTATCGTTGATATTGATAGATTACACCTGAGGAGGGCGCCATAGATTTAAATGACAAGAGTGGCTCCATCACCGGCTTGGGGTAGAAACGGGTACATACATGCTTGAGTCCATCAACATGCTGCTCGTGCCCATGATGCAGAACAAGTGAGTATCATACACTAACATATATTTGGTGGTTAGTTAGTAATTTTCTTACTTTTAACATCAGTCTCTCTTTTTCATTCAGAGAATGACAAGGATACACTGCGTCAAAATAAATTTTAGGTTGAGAATCATGCCAGAATTGACACCATTATATATTTACAATGAATTAATTCCAAAAATAGATGTATGTTAAAAATATTATTAAATTATTGTTCTATTTTACGTTTGAATTGAAAATTTGGAAGCAAATGGATATCAATTTGAATAGTACTTTTATACATAAATACAAAAATAAATCGAAAATTTATTAATTTTAAAGGAATATATAAAAAATACATTATAATAAATTTATAATGTATTTATTTCATATCGATAAAGTATTATAAATCCACTTTTTGCTCTAGTGACTGTGGTTTCTGTGATCCCCACATGAAGTCGTCGTTCTTATCTCTTAACTAAATTTAAAATATTCGATGTAAAGCAAAATATATATAAATAGTATATAGAGCCACCTTTCTATAATCGGTCCTTTAAGAGAGGCGTTAAGAAGCATTTTCGCAGGCCGGCAAGGTGAGGATGGTTGGTGTAGCAGTTTATAAGTGCGGTACCAGCTATCTTCGCGTTTGGACTTTATCACCACTTAACAGGTTTGCCTACCTAGCTATAAAAAAAAAATGTGTGCGTGTACTAGTATACATGCAATTTATTTTTCGAAAAATGATCTACATGCAACTTTCCAGAAATTGGTTAAATAAAGTTAAATTAGATAAAGTTTAAACAAAAGGATTTTATTATCATAGACATGAATACAAATTACTGCCTATGAAACTGTTATGATTACACGGCTCAGTAATCTAAGGCACATGTTCCACCTCCGACGATGAACGATAAGCGAGTAGAAACTAGAAACGAATTGGCAGTCCTGAGTTAAAATGCACGCGCACGGCTTTTGACAGCCAAGCCAGCTTAACCGAGCGAGTATAGCTGAGCGAGTATCGCTGAGCTAGTATCGCTCGCTATATTATCTTGACCACTCGTATTACAGGAAAGAAGCGTTAGGCAGTATGGGCAACGACGCGCCCCTGGCTTGTCTCTCCCTGTTCCAGCCACTCACCTATGAATACTTCAAGCAACTATTCGCGCAAGTCACCAACCCGCCCATCGATCCTTTCAGGTAAACAAACTTCAAGCATTAAACACATGCTCCGACATTACATCGTTATTATTCGAAAGAGTTTATATAATGTCTAATTTTCAAAATTGGCTCCAATAACAAAAAATATAATGGAGAAAATTTTGATTTAGGGTGAAGTAGATTTAATGGCAATGTACAAAATGCAAAAGTATTGAATTTTAGTATTGAAGGATATAAAGATTAAAAAACTGAGAATTTGATGAATAAGCCATGATAAGTAATTTCGTAAAGAGAAATACCAAACCAATCACAAATATACGAAGTAAAACCAATCACAAAGGACAGTATGTATGTATTCTACGTATTCATTTAAGGGCTACTTTTCTCTATCCTCCAGTCAAATAAATCGAATATTATAAGTAATTGGTATTACGGATGTCATTTCGTTAGAATTAATAATTTACTAATTAAAAATCAAAGCGAAGATGATAGCTATATATTTCTAAATAATATTAAATATATGTACAGAGAGAAGATAGTGATGTCTCTGCTATGCCCGATCGGCCCCGCGCCCAATATCTTGGAGCCAAGCGCCGAGTTCATGCATCGATTGTTCCTGCCGCAACCCATACTGTCTCTGAAGGATTTAGACGCGCTACTCAGGAGTTCGTATCGAGGGTGGAAGGTAACCTATAATTAAAAATACAGTAATGAACTATGTATTATAATTTTTTTTATCTAAATCATGTTTGATATTATCAATAAATACAAAAATATTAATTTTGCCCCCGCATAAGTTGATTATTTTGTATAGGTGGATTTCATGCATTCTTCTGTACTTCTAATCATTGAAGAAAATATTAAAAATATTTTATTAAATAATATAATGGATCGAGCGATACTCGCATGAAATTCAAAATTCTTTATAAAAGGAGTAAAAAAAACCAAGTCATAGACGAACTATGCAGCTCCCGATCTCTTCGTCTCTTTTACACTTACTGTTACATTATAGTTGGTTAGGAAACGCACAGTGAGTATAACTACGTGCCTACGTACAGACTTTTCAAAAGTGCAATAATATTTTGATTTGCAGACGAAAGTGTTGGACTGCACGTACGATTACAAAGAAGGCCCGCGCGGATTGGAGCCGGCGTTGACGCGGATCGCGAACGAGGCTCACGGCGCGGCCGTCGCCGGCTACCAGCTCATAGTGCTGTCCGACCGCGCGTCCGGACCGCAGCGGGTGCCCGTCAGCTCGCTGCTGGCGCTGGGTGAGTCGCGGGGCTGATAGTAATAATAATACGAGACGCGGCCGACGCCGGCCACCAGCTCATAGTGCTGTCCGACCGCGCGTCCGGACCGCAGCGGGTGCCCGTCAGCTCGCTGCTGGCGCTGGGTGAGTCGCGGGGCTGATAGTAATAATAATACGAGACGCGGCCGACGCCGGCCACCAGCTCATAGTGCTGTCCGACCGCGCGTCCGGACCGCAGCGGGTGCCCGTCAGCTCGCTGCTGGCGCTGGGTGAGTCGCGGGGCTGATAGTAATAATAATACGAGACGCGGCCGACGCCGGCCACCAGCTCATAGTGCTGTCCGACCGCGCGTCCGGACCGCAGCGGGTGCCCGTCAGCTCGCTGCTGGCGCTGGGTGAGTCGCGGGGCTGATAGTAATAATAATACGAGACGCGGCCGACGCCGGCCACCAGCTCATAGTGCTGTCCGACCGCGCGTCCGGACCGCAGCGGGTGCCCGTCAGCTCGCTGCTGGCGCTGGGTGAGTCGCGGGGCTGATAGTAATAATAATACGAGACGCGGCCGACTTTCGGAGCCTATTCAATGCAAACATAAACAATCAAATCTTTCCTCTTTATAATATAAGTATAGATTCTGTCAAATACCCTATCTATAGCGTCCCTATAGCGACTTACTCTGTTCACGGAAACGAGTAGTGGAGCACTTTCTGTACTACCCGACTTTTCGCATTCAGCTTCTCCTCTCATCTCGTAATTTTCTGTATTGCAGCTCTCTGTTTCTGTCAACAGGTGCTGTTCACCACCACTTGATCGAAACCCGCCAGCGTATGAAGGTCGGCCTCTTGGTGGAGACTGCTGAAGCCAGAGAAGTCCACCATATGTCTGTGTTACTCGGTGAGTAAGTAGACTTTACTTACAGATGCCGTTCACCACCACTTCATCGAAACCCGCCAGCGTATGAAGGTCGTCCTCTTAGTAGAGACGGCTGAAGCCAGGGAGGTCCACCATATGTCTGTGTTACTCGGTGAGTAGACTGTGCAGAGACTTTACTGACAGGTGCCGTTCACCACCACTTCATCGAAACCCGCCAGCGTATGAAGGTCCTCCTCTTAGTTAAGACGGCTTAAGCCAGGGAGGTCCACCATATGTCTGTGTTAATCGGTGAGTAGCCTGTGCAGAGACTTTACTGACAGGTGTCATTCACCACCATTTGATCGAAACCCGCCAGCGTTTGAAGGTCGGCCTCTTGGTGGAGACGGCTGAAGCCAGAGAAGTCCACCATATGTCTGTGTTAATCGGTGAGTAGCCTGTGCAGTGACTTTACTGACAGCTGCCTTTCACCACCACTTGATCGAAACACGCCAGCGTATGAAGGCCGTCCTCTTAGTAGAGACTGCTCAAGCCAGGGAGGTCCACCATATGTTTGTGTTACTCGGTGAGTAGCCTGTGCAGAGACTTTACTGACAGGTGCCGTTCACCACCACTTGATCGAAAACCGCCAGCGTATGAAGGTCGGCCTCTTGGTGGAGACGGTTGAGACCAGAAGTCCACCATATGTGGGTGTTACTGGGTGAGTATCTTGTGCAGAGACTTCACTGACAGGTGCCGTTCACCATCACTTAATCGTAAACCGCCAGCGTATGAAGGTCTATTTACTACTAGTTTTTTGAAGTTATACTTCTTTAGGCGCGTTATGAAAAAATGATGAGAGTGAAATTTTAAGATGCGCGCGCATCACTGTAACACAAAATTTTATTTTTTTTAGGTTTATTTACTACTAGCTGTGCTTTTGCGTAAATTTCTTTGATCCGTTCGAACCGGATTGATATCTTCCAATTGTGTTGTTTTACAGTATTACGTACTTTCTACAACTTATTTTCAAATACGACAAATTCGAATTTCTTTGATCCGTTCGAACCGGATTGATATCTTCCAATTGTGTTGTTTTACAGTATTACGTACTTTCTACAACTTATTTTCAAATACGACAAATTCGAATCAGCCATCTTTGTTACGCAAAATGTCTGTCGAAGAATCGCCGTGTGAACAAGATTTGTTCGAAAGGGAACTCATCCTTGATGATTTAAAACGCACTCTCCAGTTCGCAGCGACAGATGTTCAACAATTTCGCTCGCCAACTACAGATTTCAATTCTCATCAACGTAAATTTAATAAAATACAGTCCAAAATTGAAAAAACCTACATGAAATTAAAAACATTTAACAAGGAGGAACAGATTAAGATTCGTAACGATTTTAACGATCTTTACTACGCCATTATTACGCATTTAAATAATTTAAAGATGATGGATGAGGAGCAGCGACGCATGAGTCGTCCGTTATTATCACCGTTAATTCAACCACAAGTTCATAGCAAAAATTTACCTACCTTGCCTTTGCCTAATTTCTATGGTGACCCTACCGATTGGCCATCATATTTTGATTTATTTCGTTCTTTAGTCCACCTGAACAATGCCTATACAGATGCGGAAAAATTTAGATATTTGTTACTCACGGTACATAAGGAACCTCACAATTTAATAAAGTCGATTCCTATCACGGATGAGAACTATTCAGTAGCCTTGGAAATATTGATATCGCGGTATGAGAATAGAAGGGTTATTGCCACTAAGCATCTCGACAAAATTCTCGATATTGAAACGTGCACTGATAAATCAACAAATAGTATACGTAATTTATTAAACGTTTACCAAGAAAATATCAAGGCATTGGAAATTATGCACTTTCCCGTGAAAGATTGGAGTTTTTTGTTACTTAGTATTTTATTACGTAAAATACCTATGCACATTCGAAAAAACTATGAACGTTCATTAACGAATTCATCCGACATTCCTGATGTTAACACATTGATTTCTTTCCTACAGCGAGAAATATCGGCGGACGAAATTATTAATTCCACTTGTGGGCAGTCGAATAATTTTGCCAATCCGCGCAGCCGTTCGAATCCTAACGACAAACCGTCACCGACGCAGGCGCCGCATGCGCATCGTTCATTCCGTTCGTTAGCTGCTAACATCAAATCAGTTTCGAATCCGTCAATCAATAATCGATCTAATGAATAGGGTTTTAAGAGTTGTTTATGTTGTAATGCTCAACATACGTTGACAAAATGTACGCAGTTTTTAAACTTATCCCCACAAGATAGATTTGCTTTAGTACGAAATAAAAATATTTGTTATAATTGTTTGCATTTTGGACATGATGTTAATCAGTGCAATTCAAGTTTTGTTTGTCGTACGTGTCACAAACGACATCATAGTCTTATTCATTTTTCTAACCAGTTAAATCAGTCGCCGTTCATTAGTAAAATAACTGCAAATAATGTTGTCTCGCTTCCACCTACGGTGCAGTGTGACACACCGGTCATCGATGCCTCTCATGACTCATCGCCTTTAGCTTCCAACGTTGATAACGCTGTTCACAATTGTTGCGCTTCCAATGCGCCGTTAGTTCGTACGACTACGGTGCTATTGTCTACGGCGCTAATCGATGTATACGTTGGTGAGGCGAAACTTTCAACCGTTCGCTGTATTATAGATACTGGCAGTCAAGCTAGTTTTATGACTGATAGTTGCGCGCAGCGGTTGGGAATGATAAAACTTGCTCGTGTTTATTAGGAATATTTTCCTGCAGTAAAACGTAGCTATACTATATATCAGCTAACTCCATACCAAATTTTATTAAAATCGCTCCAACCTTTTAGATGTGAAGAAGTAACAAACAAACACACTCACACACTCTCAAAGACATACTTTGAAACGTAATGTTTAGTAACTTTTTTATACGTGGCGCAACAAATTACCACACTATCATTTGATGTTAAGTATAATAAGTGGAGTCCAGTCGCGAAGATAGATGATGCGGCAGAAGGTGTGCCGCTCCAGCCATCCTCACCTTGCCGCCCTGAACCCAAAACCCTACCACGCAGAGCCTTGGAACCCTGTTTACCTAACTAACTAAAAACTAATTCGTAGTTATATTTTTATTTTTTAAGTTTTAAACTGCTAGTAGTTTTAATCTTAAAAAAAAACTAGAAATTTTTCCTTTAGATTTAAGCTAATGCATATTTTTTATGTTTTTATGATAGGCTACGGCGCTGACGCTATCTGTCCATACCTCGCGTTCGAGTTGGCGTTCGCGTTACGCAACGACAACATCCTGGACCCCGCGCTCACTGACGACGATATCTACAAGGCTTACCAGAAATCCATCGAGACTGGACTCGCTAAGGTGACATTTATTTAATACAAAATGTTGTCGAAAGTTATACGCGATCTGTCCATACCTCGCTTTCGAGTTTGCGTTTCGCAGCGACAACACCCTGGACACCGCGCTTACCGACGGCGATATCTACAAGACCTACCAGAAATCCATCGAGACTGGACTCGCTAAAGTGACATTTAATCTCTTAATACAAAATATTGAGGAGCTCGATGGTGCAGGTTCCCACTGCGGTGGCACAGGCATTTCCGAGATTTGGCCGTAACCTACCACACGGGCCCGGTTTCGGATTAGTAGGTGCAGATGCGGCCGAAACCAACAGATTAATGTGCCTACCGAAGCATGAGGGAGCTCGAGATATTAAGTTTCTGGTCACCCATCCAATGACCGGCCATTGCGAAAGTTTTTTAACTACCTAACCTGCGCCATCCATTGAGCTCATTGTTTTTATTGCTTGAGGCTTACTACTCAATATATAACTTGGAAATATTTAGTTGGAATATTTATTATTAGCCAGGAAAATACATATTTTCTTCAAACTTCCTACGAGAATACTATGTCAGCATATGTACCTATTTTCTTATTACCATATTGCTTGTGGTAAATACGTGTAGTGTCATGCATAAGTTTTAGTAAATAACCTTTTTTTGTTTTAATAGGTGATGGCTAAAATGGGTATCAGCACACTACAGTCTTACAAGAGTGCTCAGATCTTCGAAGCAGTAGGTCTTAGCGAAGAAGTCATCGACAAATGTTTCAGAGGAACGCAGTCCAGAATCGGTAAATTTTTACTCCAACGTTTATGATAATATCGAAACCGTGATTCTTAACACATGGAAATCAAACATTTGCTTTGTCCAGGTGGCGTGAACTTCGAACTTTTGTCCAAGGAAATATTCGACAGGCATGCACTTACTTACAGCAACATCACCGACTGTCTTGTGTTACGGTAAGTTACTAACTAGAGCCTTTGATTGTGTACACGCCTAGATAACGTATTAAATGCACGGAAGCACTCCAAAAAATATCTACTACATATGGTAGATAAGCTCGGCGCTACACACATCAGACATGGGAGTCGCACATTGCGCGTAACATGAGCAGTTTTCTTTTCGAGTTTTATTTGGATTCTAGGTGTGTATATAATCTAAGACGAGAGCATTGTTCATTGATATATTTATTTCACAAAAAAAAAACACGTATTGAACGCATATAAAGCGCGATTTGTTAACTTTTTTGCATTATTCTCAAGGTTCTGTGTCCTTTACAGGCTCCGTGGTTGCAAGACTACTACACATTTGATTTTTAGGCTAAATTACCTTGTATTTATTTGACAATGTTAAGTATAACGATTCCTCATTTTTTTTTAAAACGTTTAAATCACTAATGTAAATAAATAATATTTTCCACTGAAGTTTTAAAGTAAATGTAGGTTTTTAAACAAAATAAAGTTTGTTGTTTTTATGGCTATAAAAAATAAGGAATGTGCGTTTATTATTCGAATCCTTCATGAAAAACATGCTCGATTTTTCTTCATTCCTGTGAGGTATAATTTCAGCAAATAGCTCAAAAAATATTGAAACTAGGGCCTGCATATCAAATTATGTTACTTTAATTTTCTTCTTCTAATTGTACTATGTCGGGTTTTTACCGAAAGTCATAATGTTTTTAACCCTGTATTCCAGCTTCCTTTTAAAACTTTCCGCCCATCTTCAAATCAGCCTGTATAATAGTTTTGTAATTAAACACTAAATTATCTTTGTTTTTAAGTATTTAACTGCTAGATGTTTAAATATAAAGAAAAGTTAATAGAAAAATATTTCACGCGGACCAGGCAGCAGACGGGACTCGAACCCGCAAAATTAGAAAAAAAACCAGTCCCGTCTGCTGCCTGGACAGCGTGGATTTTTTTTCTAGTAAACTTTTCTTTAGATTTAAACATCTAGCAGTCAAATGCTTAAAAAATAAGAACATAACTATAATTGCTATTTCTTCTTTCAAATATTTAGTACATGTAAAGGTATTAATTTGACATTATGGGTTACCTATAATGCGAAGAGATGACGATGCCTTGCAGCCTAAGGCTAGAGAAAAATTCGACACGGCCATCAGGACCGCGGTAGCATAATGGTCAGTGCATATGTATACATATGCCCGGATAGCGAAGGGTGCGGGATCGAGTCCCGTCTGCTGCCTGGTCCGCGTGGTTTTTTTTTTTGTAGTAAACTTTTCTTTAGAACTAAATTATCTGCTTTAATAGGAACCCAGGTAACTTCCACTGGCGCGCAGGCGGCGAGAAGCACATCAACGACCCCCTCTCCATCGCCAATCTGCAGGAAGCGGTGTTGAGCAACAGCACTTCCGCTTACGACAAATTCCGGTAATTAAACTGTATTGTATTCATAGAAAATTTGCAAATGTTTTAAATATGCAACACGTTACTACATAACGTTATTTTATTTCATGTTCTGTAATAGAATAAGAGGAAAGGTGTCAGGCAGAATGCATTATGTAAATAAAATTCCCCAAGTAATTCATGTCAATATTTATAAAAATCTGTTCTGCAAAGTAGACATGAAAGAGTAACAGGCAGATAAAAAGAATGAATATAATAACATTCGCATTGATGACATCAGTATAAAACCAGTTAAGTTCAACGTGAACAGGTACAGAGAGGAGGAGTCCTTGCAGCCTAAGTCAGACTCGATACGTCCGTTGAGCTCTCAGTAGCACAGCTGCCCGGATATCTAAGGACATTGTTCCGATTTTAACCGGGGTCCAGTCGTTTTTTTCTAGTAAATTAAATTAAGTAAATTATAACTTGGAGTCAGTGCCATGCATATTGATAGATCTAAGTTGTCATTTAGTGCTTGGGTTGGCATGGCACCGACTCTCAAATGTTAATTTGGCTTTAAATGTAAATATAAGTTAAAAATAAGCATTTTTTCTTACTTTTTAGTGGTTTTGTTTCTATGAACTCTGTTTTAAATTTTTGGTAAAAAAGTTATTATTTTCCCCTTTTTTACAAGTGATATCAATGGCATACTAAATATACATGTCTGAACTGCAATCACTCTTTCATAGTTCGTAAAATATCCAAACACGATATGTGTACTGGAGGCTGAATGCGCTAAATGTCAAACGACTGAAACGCATTGAACCGTAAACGAACCGCAACTTTTTATTACATCGCGCTAAAGTTTTGAAAGCGAGTTGAGATGTAAACGTATCATGATTGGACAGTACTATGACCTTACTCCACTGAACTTCAGTCAAAAACCTAAAGAAGATTTCAGTTGACAGTTGAAAATAAGCACGATACCGATTTCGTATAAAGTTGAGTTGCAACTAGTATTGAACTAAAATTTAACTATGATTGAACTTAGGCGGATCGTTCAAAATAATAAATAACGCGTTTGACCTGCTGTTCGTAGTGTTCGTATTTCAGGAGTTCCATTGTTTATTTCCGAAATTATTTATCAGATCTTTACCAAATCAATATGGAGACATCTCGCTAACAAACTCTTCCAAACAAAGAAAAAAGAATCATCCAAATCGGTCCACAAACCTCGGAGATATGAAAAATTATGACATTTTATTGGGTTTTTTAATAATTATTAATATTATTATTATAGAATGACGAATTAAGAACCTCCTCTTTTTGCAAGTCGGTTAAAAGATCTTGCTCTTCTATAAATCTTAACAGGGAGAGCTCATTGGAGTCGATCCGCGCGTGCACATTGCGTGGGCAACTCGAGCTCGTGAAACTGGACGAGCCCATCCCCATTAGCGAAGTGGAGCCCGCCGCGGAGATCGTCAAGAGATTCGCCACGGGTGAGAGATTGTCTTTTTTAAAGCAAACGCGAGCTGAGAGACATTTGGAAAATAGGTTTTTGAAAAAATATTGCTGTCAAATACTAACGCTGAAAATTGCGTATAAAAATAGCAAAATTCGAGGTTTGGCTCTCGATGATTTCCTCCTCGATAATTAAAAAGTATGGATAAATAAGTAGAGAAGATATCCGTAGATTTCCGAAACGATAGCCAATTTTTTCGACATTCATCTGTGTTTGTCTAAAAAAGCCTAAACTGTGAAAATTAATTCTGTATTAAAATTTCTTAGGTGCAATGTCGTTCGGGTCCATATCCCTGGAAGCTCACACGACGCTGGCCATCGCCATGAACCGCATCGGCGGCAAGTCCAACACCGGCGAGGGCGGAGAGAACGCCGACAGGTACTTGAACCAGGTGTGTACATTGATATATATTCGTTTACCAGGATTATTGGAAAAGATTTTAAGAAAAAGAATACTAAGGAAAAGAATACTTAAACAAAGTACGGACATAAATAATTATGTACGTCCGTTTGCTTGATTTTATGATCTTGTTTTTTTTTGGTGTAACACGGCAAAACCGTGCTTCGTATTGAAAAGAGAATATTCATCGAGTTTTCATAGTTGTTCAGTTATTTCTTGAAATATATTACTAAGTAACCATTTGGACCTTTTAGCGCCTTCTACCAAACAATAATCTCCGCTTTATTTATATATTGCCAAGTGCTACATCCTTAAAAATACAAAAAAATATATATTAAAAAAAACTCATAAACTTGGATTACTTTTTCCTCTTGACAGTGATTATCCATTTCATTCGTTGTTCTCGTTTCGTTTCTAACTTGCATGTGGAAATGTATAGATTTAGTGATCACTGTTTTTGCCATTTTTCTTGCCAACTAGGTAGTACGCAGTAGGTTTCATGACGCATTTTTATTCATTTTTACATAAAATGCACGGATACGTAAATTTTGATACTAAAAAAGTGACACCGCCACGGTGCGCGCTGCGAGTGATTAGTAGTTCCCCCACCTCCTACTTCGCACCCAGCGAATAGATAAGACTCGCTAGAGACAAGGTACATGGCAGCAATCCCGTAAATGATATCAGCTTTATTTGTTGTCTATTTTTTTACGCAGGATCCTGAATTCAACAAGCGGTCGGCAATCAAGCAGGTGGCTTCTGGTCGGTTCGGCGTGACAGCTTCGTATTTGGCGCACGCTGATCATCTGCAGATCAAGATGGCGCAGGGAGCCAAGCCCGGCGAGGGCGGAGAGTTGCCCGGTATATAGCCACTATATGTCTGTCGATATAGCAGCCACAGTTCAACAAGTGGCCGACCATCTGCTATAGCAACTATACATGCATTTATCTTAACCCGTGTTTTAAACCACTATAACAGATTCTGAAACAGCTTATTGCCAACTATAAAACATCCAATGTTCTTATGACTATAATATCATCTAAACGGATGATATAATCACACTATAATATTTTAAGGCGAAATTTTGTGAATGTTTTTTACTTCTTCACGTCTAAACGGCTGGGGCGATTTTAATAAAAATTGGTATGGAGTTAGCTGACATCCTGAATTAACACATAAGCTATGTTTTAATGCGGGAAAATATCCCTAATGAACCGCGGGGCACAGCTAGTGTTGTATTAATTTCAAAAGTAGTACATTACTGCAGCGGTCAGCAATAGAGTTATTGATGGATGTACGTGTAAATTTAAGCCGAGGTGAAGCCAAAGCCGATGTTACTTCTCTTCTGTCAGGAACTCATTAAAAACAATTATACTCGCGTGACTACATTTTAGTCTGCGCTTGGACAACGAGCCGATAAATTAATAATAGACTGTTAATTGATATAGATTGTTATGTTTTTTTAAACTTTTATGGTCACCAGCATTATAGTTATTTATTTTATTTACGAAGGATCTCGATGGCGCAAATGGTTACCACGTTCGGATGTGATCGTTGAAGCTAATCAACTTACGCAGTGGTCGGTCATTGGATGTGTGACCAAATATTTACTATCTCGAGCTTCTCCGTGCATCGGAAGGCACGTTAAGTAGTTGGTCCCGGTTGCGTTTGCAGTCGTTAATGTAACACCCATCAATTTGTATTGGGCCCGCGTGCTGGTCCATAGAAATGCCTGCGCCGGTTACTGGTAAATACCAGCGCTGACAACCGCTGGTCGGCTTCCAGCTTTCTTTCTGTATACGGCCTCAGATGAAGGTTTTCAATATGTATATTCCATTCCAGGCTACAAAGTAACAGAAGACATCGCCGCCACTCGATGCTCAGTGCCGGGCGTAGGGCTCATTTCACCGCCTCCTCATCACGATATCTACTCCATCGAGGACTTGGCCGAGCTGATCTACGACCTGAAGTGCGCCAATCCTTCGGCCGTCGTGTCTGTGAAGCTGGTGTCTGAAGTTGGCGTGGGTGTTGTAGCCTCCGGAGTGGCAAAGGTAAGATAATGGCTACGACTGAAATATAATATGCTACTCGGGATGATTGAATGATTATTATAGCTATTAACGGGATTGTCACCATGTACCTCGTTTTTTATGAATCTCCGATATATATTGTTTAAAACATTATTTATGATTGAATGATACTCCCTATTGTTGTTTTTTTATTTTTTTGGTTATCTTTTCATACAACTGACTATGAAGTGATAGTTTTTAAGTTTGATTAATGTTTAACGTAGTTGAATAATATATTTTTGGTCATACTCCGAGATGTTGACATCTCAAATAAATAAAAGACTAACAAATTTAGTTGAATAAATTTGTATTTGTCATTTAAAGTCTAATGCAGTCTCTTAAATGCAATCGCAGATATAACAGCAACAACGGTTATAATTATTATTATTTTTATTTTTTATTTGTCCGACAATGTACTTATAGATATTTAAATTTTTGTTCAACCAAACCAAACTTAATTAAGAAAAACCTAGTTTGGTTAAAATTTGAAAATTGACAGCATTATTCCGATAATCTGTTGTTTCTTTGTTTTTTTTTTCGAACTAAACTCAAAAGTGATAATTATTGAGTGGTTTCCCTATATCGTGATACTTTTTTAGTTTCACTAGGATTAGATATCTAAAAAAAACAAGCAAGCCTTATAGTAGTCATATATGATATGTGACATTTGAAACCTCACCTTATATAAGTACAAAAAGAAATAAAAACCTACTACAAAAAGGACTAAGTCATTTGAACATTATGTTCTAAAATCAAATCAAATAGCGCGCGCTTCCCAAACTTCCTGTTACACACTTTCGTCCCACTTCACGTAATCACTCCCACAAATTGCACGAAAGCGAGGGGAAAGATGTTACACATCAAAACAAAAGATTTTGATACATTTCTATTTTTCAATAACCTAACAGGGCAAGGCCGAGCACATAGTAATATCCGGCCACGACGGTGGCACCGGCGCTAGTTCTTGGACGGGAATAAAATCAGCCGGTCTCCCGTGGGAGCTGGGCGTGGCAGAAACGCACCAGGTCCTCGTGCTCAACGACTTGAGGTCTCGAGTGGTGGTGCAGGCCGACGGACAGATACGGACCGGGTTCGATGTGATGGTGGCTGCGTTACTAGGAGCTGACGAATTCGGCTTCAGCACAGCGCCGCTTATCGCTATAGGTAAGGTGATTTTATTGTTTCAGTTTTAAGTTTTATCGGTTGAGTGATTAATAATGAGAAAACTTCAGAAGGAGTGGATTAAGAAAGCGTATTTTGTTGAAAGCTCCTTGTTACGGTAATGGCACCGGTACCAGTTGCTGTTAGCCTACTTTATAACTTATTTAACACTTTCAGGACAAGTATATTAGTGGCGTTGTAATAAAACAGTAGTGGGCCAGTAAATAGCTCGGTCGCAACCACTTCCATCCACAGACATAGATAGATAGATAAAAACATGCGGGAAAAATTCGCGTCGTGGGTTCTTAGTCTAAACGTTAGAATTGAATCGGATGGCCGGAGAACATGATTTTTCGCCACCTTATGTTTTCTCAAAATATGAAACGCTCGGCTTTCATACAAGTTGAAGCACATACTTCATCTACTCAAATCTAGGTCTGTGCTTCCATCTGTCAAAATCGTTAGCGAATAGGCCAAGTGGATGGCGAAGTGAAAATTTGGCTATTACGACAAGTTGTAATATTTATTGGTTCAGTTTATTTTTACAACTCAAAAATAAACTGAACCAATAAATATTACAATAGTAGATTGTTGCTTCGAGCACAAAGTGAGTTATTTATGCACGAGTGTTATGTTGGTTAATTAACTATAGTCTGTCCAGGTTTTTTAGGCAACCCATCTTTAATATATTTTCTAATATACTAAATTCATGATAAAATATGTTTCACTCTATTATCAGCTCGGTGAAGGTCGACGTAGGTTCGGATCTTAGACTATTATTACTAATTCGTTGGTTGTAAGATAACTTACTATACACTCACACATGCACCTTTTAAGATAGATAATCCTTTGCTTGTCAATAATAATCATGATATTGTTTAAAGGATGTACAATGATGCGCAAATGCCACTTGAACACTTGTCCCGTGGGGATCGCCACGCAGGACCCCGTACTACGTAAAAAGTTCGCCGGCAAGCCCGAACATGTCGTCAACTACTTCTTTATGCTGGCTGAGGAGGTAATCATAAAAATATCATAAAAAACTTGTTAAAGTGCTCTTTAATCTTACCTTTCTTGTTTTAAATTCATAATTTACTTGTTTTGCTACCATAGTGACAAAGTATCATATCTTCCCATTTTTGTAATGATGATTTTGTAGCTATAAAGTTGAAAATTATTAAAGAAGTTCCAGCATTATTTGTTACCTATTAAACTTTTTTAAAACTGTATTGGAATGGAAATTCAAACTAGACCAGAAACTATATTATTGGAATGCATATGTATAAAGTTTAACCCCTTTTTTAATAAATCACAGGTTCGTCAACACATGGCTGAAGTAGGCGTACGTAAATTCCAAGAGCTGATTGGTCGCACGGACTTGCTCAAAGTGCGTGAGAACAACGACAACCCGAAAGCTCGACTGCTCAATCTCTCGCTCATATTGAAGAATGCTCTACACATGCGGCCAGGCGTCAATATACACGGTGGATCTAAGACACAGGTCTGAATAACATTAATATTTAAGGATTTCTCTCATAATAGTATCAAAATAATACGATATCAATCACCTTACAGAAAAGTACAAGAACAAAATTGATGGCAAGCAAATTAATGAATTGAGTGTGGAGGTGTATAAATATCATACCACCTTGCAGAAGAGTACACAGTAAAATGATCTGTTTTTATGTTTTGCAGTGAATAAACTTGCTGGTATCTCAAAGAGTATATATAATAATGTGGTTGTGGTTAGACTACATATAAGAGTTTTTGTTGTTGTTATTAATTAATAGATCCCACACTTATAAAATGATGTTGCCATTTACTTGCCAAATGATTTTGCAATTTGTTTTATACGTGTTCGTAGTACATATATATTAATTGTTAACTTTAAGAACACACATTACGAAATTAAAATCACGTATAATATGACTGTGTTATTTTACTAGGATTTTTTGTAAGGTGACTTCCACAATTCTAGTTGAAAATCCGCTAAGCCCTGCCTCTATAAAATTAACCAATTCAACATTTATTAATGCAGGACTTCCAACTGGAGAAGCGGTTAGACAACCAGTTAATAGAACTGTTCGCTGGCGTTATTTCTGGAACTCAGCGGCACGCGGAGACAACTATGCACATCACAAACGAGGACCGCGCCTTCACCTCTACACTGTCATATCATATCGCCATGTGAGTGATAAAATAATACGGGAAGCTTCGATCAACAATTCTATAGATAATTGGTCAGCACGGAAAATCCGTCTCGGTAAATATAGCCTCACTAGAAGCGTGAGATCTGATTTTAAATTAGTTCGGTTAATACAAAACGAAGTAACACCTTACCCAATGACTGGTAAAAATATTTTATTTTGTGGGTCATAAGGTTGATTTCACATTTTCCTTTTTTCACCTTTATCGTTTTTTTCCAAGTGTCAGATATAATTTATAAAAGGAACAAGAGTTCGTTTTATAAGATAAGAGGTCGTATGTGCGAAATAACATTTTGTTATTTGTAACCTTATTCCTTTGTGAGAACGTTGTTATTAGGTTCAACTTTAACTGTTTTAAAACATTTATCTTTGTTCATTGGGACTGTAACTGCATAAGTTTAAACATACGCGGACAGTTTTTAGCTTTGATTTTGTATGCAACCCGTTATCTATAGAATTATTGATCGAAAACGGGAAGTGATTACTTTGTCAACCCTGTTAAATTAAGATTTTACCTAAAGAAAGTTTGTATGAAGATGAAGTGCGGAAGGCTAATGTTTTTCTAGAATAATCTACTAGATAGTGAGCTCGATGGCACACCGTGATAGCGTATTAAGACTGATTTACACTACGTTAAGTACAGTAGTGAGTTAACTTACAGTCTTGACGAGTTAACTTCTTATCATCGTTTGGACTGGGATTGGCCATTATTTTTTTATAGCCAGGTAGGCAAATGATTCTACTACCCACCTGATGTTAAGTGGTGACAAAGTCCAAACGCGAAGATAGCTGGTACAGCAGTTAAGTACATTTGCCTAACTGTCCGATTTCTAAACTCGCTACACTACTTACAGAAGTGTAAATCAGCATTTAGGTCTGCGGTCGTCAAAGTAAAGCAAGTTTTGACAGGGCTATATATAATCATATAATAGGTAACCATTTTATTTATTATCTTAAGGTCCTATGTGCTTCTGAAGGCACATTAAGCCTCTGGTCCCAGCTGCATATGCAGTCGTTTCCACCCACATATCCGTATTAAACCCCTATGATGGGTTAGGACTAGAGATCGAATAATCAGATGCATATTTACCTAAAATTGAGATGTTGGATATTATGTAAGGCACTTATATCGAAAAAATCCCGTGATTCCGGGAAATTCAAATATAAGTGTATACTCCGTAAGATCTAATAAACCCAGATTGAGACGAATGACAGTTGCCCTGTGTGTATAGCATAAAAATATTGTGTACTGTTTTTAATGAAAAAATAAATTATTTGTGTTCTTATTAACCACACCACCATTTGTCTTACATGTACACATTACATACACGAGGAATTCAAATTTATCTTTAAGGAAATATACATCCGATTCGTTATGCGAGCCTGAAATATCGGGGTTTTTTTTTAATAAACTAGCAGCCGCTTCCATAATTTTTTAGGCAAAAGTAACTTTAGGTAAATATGCATCCGATTATCCGATCAAAAGTTATGACCCAATCTCCCTACCCCTACCGCAAGGAAGGCACGCAATGCCTGTTTACATTTTCGAATCTTTCCAATTCGAGTAATGAAAGGTTGAGTGAGTTACGGTGTTAAGTCAGCTGGATGGCAACAGTGACGCTTACATAGCCGTCTAGGTATTTGATGTCCCCACAAAACCAAATTATCAATTAGAAAGTCTTCCTTTATCATAGTCACTGTTGAACTTAAATATAGTACTTTTATTTATATTATACTCCTTAGATACCTTATTATCTCCACGGAAGCGAGACAAAAAATATCTACTACATATGGTACATATGCTCGTCACTACAAACGCACACATGCGAGAAACATGAGCCGTTTTCTTTGCGTGGTTTATTTGGATTGCTCTATCTAGAAGTATAAATAATCAAAGATTGCTACTTTATAAACATGATTCCTATATGAAAGTTACATAAATATCGGTGTATCTATCCAGGAAATACGGCGACAAAGGCCTCCCCGACGGCTCCACCATCGACATCCACTTGAAAGGCTCCGCGGGGCAGAGCTTCTGCGCTTTCCTGTCCAGAGGCATCACCGTCACGTTAGAGGGAGACGCCAACGATTACGTCGGTCAGAGAATTATCTACCTTACGTCTGTGTGATAGGTGTCATTTTAACTTTAGCCCTTTTATAAATATGATTTGTTTTGCCAGTTTCAATAATCAAATTCCAGTAAGAGGTAGGCCTATTAGAACTTTATTGTTTAGATATATATTTTTTATTATTTACATTATAATGACGAGTTACTAAGGTACGAAATCGAATCAGCCTAACCTTTTAATGAAGGTTAATAATTATTAAAACATAAGTAAATAATACTTTAATGGAATTTTCGACGCAACTTTGAGAAAATCAAAGTGAATCGATATTCTGCGATAATGTAATGTAATAATATTTTTCTCTTAAATAAATCGATTTGTTTATATACATAATAGCAAACTGTGCATTATTCTAGTTTTGTTTTATCATTTTTATTGTAGGCAAAGGTCTGTCCGGCGGGCATGTAATAATTTACCCTCCGAAGAACTCTTCCTTCGAGTCTCATTTGAACGTGATCGTCGGTAACGTGTGCTTGTATGGTGCTACCTCTGGACGAGCTTACTTCAGGTACGTTTTTTCTTACAAAATGATCTTTAATAATTTTGAGTTTGCATGGAAATATTATTTTATAACTTTAGTAAAGAGCGTTTTATCATAGACAAAAGATAGGTATGTTAAAAAAGCCTATGTGACTCGAAATGATCTATTCGAAATATTTTGTTCTATATTATCTTTTATTTATTATAACAGCCACTTTAAATTATTTAAATATTAGATTTATGAAGTACTATATCCTCACTAGACGTATATTATTTCTCATGTCCATGACACTGCAGTTCCACTCACCAGATTCAGTTGGAAACAAACAAACAGCACAAACAAGTACTCGCAGTATAAATACAAGGACTTGTTCCCGTCCTGGTTGTTTAATAACTTAATATTGAGGCCCACTTGTATCAAAGTTTCTAAATTAAATTTAAAAACTAATAAATAATTTGTAATATACTTAATACAGATGGAATGATGTGTTTGTGTTCTACAGGAATAAGCCTTTAATTTAAATAAATAATAAATATTACCAACACTCACACCAATTACCCTAGCCTCAAAGTAAGCACTGTAAGGCTTGTGTTATGGGATACTAGGGTAACGGTTAGAATATATATATATATATATATATATATATACAGTACAAGTAAATTTATATAGAAATACATATTAAACATCCATGACTCGAGTACAAATGCTCATATTCATCACACAAACATCTGCCCCCACCGGGATTCGAACCGGGGACCTCTCGAGTAGGCGACACCTTGAAACCCGGCGTACAAACCACTCGACCACGAAGGTTTTCATTTGAATTAAGCATGTTTGTTCAAGCCATCCTAAGTAAATAAAACCTCTAAACTTTCACATTTTTAATATAAGACAATGCATTATACACTTATTCAGTTGTCGTACTACAAGTTCGCCTTAGTTTGCCACTAAATAATAATTGTGTCTGTTAGTACCATAGAGGTATAAGAATAGAGTGGCGAAGGCGGCTCTAAAAATGTCCGTCTATTAGAAAGAGAAAGAAGATGAGAGACCGCTAGCTATTTCTCTCTTTTGTGGCGCATGGCATCCAATGGCATCACATCACATCGAAATAGTAAGATGCTTACGGTTGCCAATGCGCATGCGCGATTGGGGAGAGAAAGCTAGCGGTCTCTCATCTTCTTTCTCTTTCTATTAGAGGCACACTTCCACTTGTAGTAGAGTCTATGTCTCTACTCTATTCTTATACCTCTACGTTTGGTACACACAGAGGTATAGCGTCGGAACGTTTCTGCGTACGCAACTCGGGCTGCGTCGCCGTGGTAGAAGGCGTCGGTGACCACGGCTGCGAGTACATGACGGCCGGCTTGGTGCTGGTGCTCGGCCTCACGGGCAGGAACTTCGCCGCGGGCATGAGCGGTCAGTATAAATATATCTTTTTTTATTTTTGATATTCATCATTCTGTTGTGTATTTCAGTAATAAAAAACTAAATCAAAAGTTTAATGTTCCAAGTTTGAATGGAAGTTTACTAGCGTGTGACGCCATATTAGTCTACGCCAATCCCAAGCGTTTTCATTTGAAACCTCACCTTATATTAGTAAAAAAAAAAAAAAACCTACTACAAAAGGAATAAGCCATTTGAACATGATGTTCTAAAATCAAATCAAATAGCGCGCGCTTTCGCGACTTCCTGTTACACACTTCTGTCCCATTTCACGAAATCACTTCCACATATTGCAGGAAAGCGAGAGGAAAGATTTTACACATCAAAAACTATAGTTATTAACTATTTGTTTTCTCTGAATAGTAAAATTGCTGCTAGTAGTCGTATCGTCAAATATCCTATTATTCCTACTCTATTAGATTTTATGAACAAGTCCGAATTGCATTCTACTTAGATCCTATGTCATCCGCTCGGTTTCCCGACCTATGTCTATAACGAGCGAGTCGAAGTTCCCGTGGACGCAATGTATAATCGTCTAAAATAGTATCTTGCATTCGCGCGTTCCGAAACGCACTTATTGACATCTGAACAGGCACTTGAGAATCTTTGAATAATCATTGCATTGTTTCACAGGTGGCATCGCCTACGTTTACGACATCGATGGATCGTTCAAGGGCAAGTGCAACCAGGAAATGGTGGAGCTGCTACCACTGGAATTACAAGATGATTTAGATGTCGTCAAGGTTCTGCTAGAGGAGTTTGTACAGCTTACTGGGTGAGTCACAAAGAAAGAAATAGAGATAGAGAACTTGTGAATATTTAACTGGTCTCTGGGAAGGAATAAGCGTAGACCAGTGATTCCCAAAGTGGTCTATATCGACTCCTAGGGGTCTATGACAACATGCAAGGGGTCTACGTCAGCGAAAAAAAACCAATATCAAGTAAGTAGGGGGTCTACCCAACACGGAAAAACATGGCAAGGGGTTTACGACACAAAAAAGTTTGGGGAACTCTAGCTTAGACCATAAAATTAGCTGCTCACGTTATTTGTCACAGCTATATGGTATCGCTCCTATTTCGGACCTCCTTACTCCTTAATTCAAAATCTTTGCTGATGTCGATAAATCTAATATTGTTTTCCACACTATTAAAAAATAACCCATAAAACATTGTCCATTTCTACTTTTTATGTATACAATATACTTCTCATTATTAAATATTCTTTTCTATTGTTCACTAATTTCCAAAACTAACGTTGATAATTGGCATAACAAAACCATATTCATCAACAGATCCGTAATCGCTGAAGAGCTGCTAAGCACCTGGCCCGAACCCGCTAAAATGTTCGTCAAAGTATTCCCGTATGAGTACCAGCGCGCCTTGAAGAGGATGGCCCTGAAGCAGTCACCGCCCAAGATCGAAGCCAACGGTAGAGACGAGAACGGCGTAGCAGATATAGAGGAAGCGGTCAGAGACGTGGAGTTGGATAAGAAAAACTTGGAGAAGATCCTTGACAAGACTAGGTAAAGGAGCTTTATTTTTTACAGTAGCTTGATTTCAGTGTGATATATGGATTGTGGAGACTAAAATCATTATTAAGATATACATTTTTTTACTTTTATGTCCTTTGTCATTTAGCGCCGTAATAAGAGGTTTTTGCTATAAAATTATTAATAGTGAAAAATACGAAATGACTGCTATTATTATATATTATTTTTCATTTTATTATTTGTTCTTGCACATACAGGGGTTTCATGAAGTACCCGCGCGAAACGTCCGTATACCGCCCCGCGGAAAAGAGGATGCGGGACTGGGAAGAAATCTACAACAGCAGCCAAGTGCGTCGCGGATTACGCGTACAAGCAGCCAGATGTATGGAGTGCGGGGTTCCATTCTGCCAGAGCCAACATGGGTGTCCTCTAGGGAATATAATCCCCAAGTGGAACGACCTGGTGTACCGCGCGCAGTGGCCCGACGCGCTGCACCACCTGCTGCAGACTAACAACTTCCCAGGTGCGCCCTCTTTATATACCCCGCGCCAGGCTAACATGGCTGCCCTCTCGGAAATATAATCTCCAAGTGGAACGACCTGGTGTACCGCGCGCAGTGGCCCGACGCGCTGCACCACCTGCTGCACACTAACAACTTCCCAGGTGCGCCCTCTTTATATACCCCGCGCCAGGCTAACATGGCTGCCCGCTCGGAAATATAATCCCCAAGTGGAAAGACCTGGTGTACCGCGCGCAGTAGCCCGACGCGCTGCACCACCTGCTGCAAACTAACAACTTCCCAGGTGCGCCCTCTTTATATACCTCGCGCCAGGCTAACATGGCTGCCCGCTCGGAAATATAATCCCCAAGTGGAAAGACCTGGTGTACCGCGCGCAGTAGCCCGACGCGCTGCACCACCTGCTGCAAACTAACAACTTCCCAGGTGCGCCCTCTTTATATACCTCGCGCCAGGCTAAATCAACTTGAGTTATCATCATCATCATCATCAACAGCCTATCATAGTCCACTGCTGGACATAGGCCTCTCCAAATGCACGCCACTCAGATCGATCTTGGGCTACTCGCATCCAGCTCCTGCCAGCCACCTTGCGCAAATCGTCACTCCATCGTGCTTGAGTTATAGTAGCGTAAAACCTTGCATTGAAAAACAAAATCTTAGAAAAACTATTTAAAAATTGTTTAATATTTTATGTCCGATTAATAAATATATTGTGGTAACGACAGGCAACTACCGAACCCTACACTGCGCGTGGCACAACACGCACTTAGCCGGATTTTAAAATAATATGTCTGATCAAAGTTTCATAACCACATCAATGCTTTGTCAACTTTACCTCTCAAATATCCCAGACAATCGTCCATCTATTTGCGAACTGATTTGGTGTCTGCTTAAATCTTCTGTTCATATGCTTACTTCTCATTAAGTTTCTAAACAAGCATAGACAACAAGACTTAAAAATAGGAATTTAACAAAGACTGCGTAGTTTTAATCGTCCGTATGTTTCGGTTTAGAGTTCACCGGTCGCGTTTGCCCGGCGCCGTGCGAAGGCGCCTGCGTGTTGGGCATAAGCGAGCCCGCTGTCACCATCAAGAACATCGAGTGCGCCATCATTGATCACGCGTTCGAATCCGGATGGATAAAACCACAGGTGCGCTGAAGAATAAATAAAATTATTACCTTGTCGTAAATCTACCATTTTCTTTTTTTTTGTGTCTGGGAAATGCCTTACGCATCGTTAAACCACTGGGGGAGCGAGAAAAAGGTATGTGGGACTCCTCCCCGTCCTTTCTGCCAGCCTTGGGGCCGGATGAAATGAACAGGGCCCTACATACCGGCCTGAACAGGGCCCTACCTACCGCCCAGAACAGGGCCCTACCTAACGCCCTGAACAGGGCTACTAAAAACCAGACAATACTTCTGCACCGTCACCCGACAAGCACTATGAGGACCGCGGTCCCCCTAGTGCGTGCTGAGAGGGCGGGTGTGGTCGCGGCACCCGTTTCCGAATGGCCGCGCACCCGCCAGGTGGTCATAAATCTACCCTAGATTGGTTAAATTAGGGATTTACTCGAGCGCGATAGATTAACATAAGGGGGGACAACCTTTCACCTAGAGAAGTACTCACCCCCCCCCACACACACACCCCCCCCCCACACACACACCCCCCCCTGTGGGGCCAAAGATAGAATATAGAAAGAAAGAAATAATATTTATTCAGTACCACGACCATTTTGACAACATACATAATGTGGTTTGATACACAAGTATATACATGGTGCTGAAAAGGTATCTACGCATAATGTCGGAGCATCTAACGATGCTTCGACGCTGGTCTTCCGCAGATACCTACAATACTATAATAATATACACGATACGAATTTCAACAATCGGTTAAGACTTTTGCTCGCGTCCACATTGTCAGTATTTTGAATAGGAGCGAGAGCTCACGTAACATCCTTCTTTTTCAATGTCTGATGCGCTCGAATATCCATACTTGAAACCCTCTATAGGGCCGAACTTATAGAATATACACGATACGTATTTCAGCTATCAGTTAAGACTTGCTCGCGTCCAAATTGTCAGTAATCTGAATAGGAGCGAGGGTTCACATAACATCCTTTTTCAATGTCTGACTCGCTAGATTTTTTTTTTCTAATATTCTACCTCTTCGCACCCACACACCAACCAAATAGGCAGATCATTTATTTTTTATTTTTTGCGTCCTTAGAAAAGACTTGCTCGCGTTCAAATTGTCAGTAATCTGAATAGGAGCGAGGGTTCACATAACATCCTTTTTCAATGTCTGACTCGCTCAATTTTTTTTTCTAATATTCTACCTCTTCGCACCCACACACCAAGCAAATCGGCAGATCAATATTTTTTTATTTTTGCGTCCTTAGAAACATATTTAAGTATATTACATTATATAAGTATATTTATATAGAAATACGTATTAAACATCCATGACTGGAGTACATGCATAAATGCTCGCATTCATCACACAAACATCTGCCCCCACCGGGATTCGAACCGGGACCTCTCGAGCAGGTGACACTTTGATACCCGGAGTACAAACCACTCCGCCATAGAGGTCGTCAATTGAAACTATGGGTTTAGTTAGATTTAAATATCATACTATTTTTGTGACAGATCCCACCCCACCGGAACGGTAAAACGGTGGCAGTGGTCGGCTCCGGGCCGGCAGGACTTGCCTGCGCGCATCAACTGAACAAGGTAAAATATTAATAATAATAATCTCTTATCTATTAGACAAGTCCGTCCGTCCGTCCGTCTGTCTGTGGTGCTGTTTCAGCGGCCAAACCGTAAGAGATAGATAAAGAGAATGTTTAAGTTATAAGTTAAGAATAGTCTGATAAGACTACAAACCGGATTTGAGTAACGTAGCACTTCCGGTTTTCGAGAAATCACGAATTTCAAACGAAATCACACAAAATCTCCGAAGTTCTCAATTAATTAAATGCATACGTACTACAATTTGTATATCACTTTATTATTTTTATCACGTTATAAGACATTCCTTTCATTTAATATGCTAAGTTATTTAGCAAAACATAATCCTTATGATTAACCCTTTCGATGGTTATCATTAAATACGTCGTGTTTTTTTTTTCGAAATTTCACGAGTTTGATTCCCAGTTGTAACAGGCGATTTTAAAAAAATCTGTGAATGCAGTTCTAGTTATTATTAAAAATAAAATGATGTCTTCTTTCAGTAAAATATCCTATCTTCAATATTTAATACACTTTCCCTCCGTGTGAGGTAGACGTGGGACACCCTGTATATATAATAACTAAAATACATTATTAAAAGGAGTCCCTTTAGGCAAGGTTCCAAAGATACTGGCAGCGATCCCCCTTAATGTAATTAGATTCAATATAAATTAAGTGCTAGCAAACACAAAAACTATATGTACTTTTATTATCATTATCCAATAGAGATGTAGCTATTCGAGAGTTAGATATCACTTAAGTATTTGACGCGGAAATAAATCCGAAAGTCAAATGCTCTGTAAAATAGTTTGATATGCACTGAATAATAAATAGTAACTAAAGTTGCACAAATTAAATTTTTTATTCATTCATTATCAAATGTTAAGTGCATTATTTTAATCATGTTAACTTTGAATGTATTTTTTTTTTTTGTTATACTCAAAAGACCCTTCTACACTAGTAAGATCAACATAAATTTACTTAAAAGAACCAATATTTTTCTCATAGGCTGGCTACTCAGTGACAGTGTTCGAGCGAAATGATAGACCCGGTGGTCTACTGCAATATGGGATTCCTTCAATGAAGCTGAGCAAAGAAGTGGTGGCGAGACGAATACGCCTGCTCTCGGCCGAAGGCATCGCCTTCAAGTGCTGCGTCGACGTCGGCAAAGATATCTCTGCGCAAGATCTGGCTAATGAGTAAGTGAAGTAATAGCCGTACGAGAGAAAAGATAGGAAGATGAGTTATGCCGAAAATTTATTTGTCTGTCGTGTTGTGTCGTGACGCGTCAGAGAGCTATCGGTTTCATACGATTAGTACGGTTAGAGTGAGTACGGTGTCGACACATCGCGACACATAAATATAAGTCTAAATTTGAATACACAAATGTATAATAAAATAAAATTAATTTTATGCAACTTCATTAATTGCTATATAGCTTTTACTTGCATTACCTAAGAGTGGTGACACCTCCAAAACCAATGTACAGACAGCCACAGGCAAGTTACCCAAAACTAAATTTTATCCAAATGACTTTATACTACTTGACATACGATTTACAAGATTTTGAGAAAAATTGTTTTATTTTATGTATGGCTGCCTCAACCAAGCCACGGAGGTCGTCAAACAATAAGCAAGAACTTTTTCTCTAGATATGACTCGTTAGTCCTGTGCATGGGCGCGACTTGGCCTCGCGATCTCCCCCTCAAAGGTCGGCAGCTTAACGGCATCCACTTCGCGATGGAGTTCCTCGAGAACTGGCAGAAGAAACAGGCTGGCCCTGCATCAGCACATAAGGCCCCACAAAAGGATAATCCACAACTCAGCGCTAAGGATAAGGACGTGCTTATCATCGGAGGCGGTGACACGGGGTAAGTGTCCTTACACTGAACTGTATTATGTATGTATATATCGCGATGAAGTTTCTTGAGAACTAATAGTAGAAGAAAGCTGCCCATGTTCAAAGTAATCTGCAACTCAGCGCTTGGGATTGACACGTGACATGGGGTGAGTTTCCACTCATATAAACTATCCTTGAACATTTCGTTTGAGGAACTATCCTCAAGAACTGACAGAAGAAACAGGTTGGCGCCATACCCACACATAAGGCCCCACAAAATGATAATTCATAACTAAGCGCTAAGGATAAGGACGTGCTAATCATCGGAGGCAGTAACAAGGGGTAAGTTTCCTTATACTAAACTATGATATCTATACTCACATCGCGATTTAGTTCCTCGATTACTGGCTGAAGAAACAGGCTGGTCACGTACCCGCACATAAGGCCCCGCAAAAGGACAATCCTCAACTCAGCGCCAATGATAAGGACGTGCTTATCATCAGAGGCGGCGACACGGAATAAGTTTATAGATAATCCACAAAGCAGCGCCAGCGCAATTCGGTTTGTTTACATTAGCTCTCAAAACGTTTAAAGTATAATATAAAAATTCATTGATTAACCTTTAGTGATCTAGTATTGTATTTTTATACGGTTCGTTTTATCCAATCAGATGTGACTGCATAGCGACGTCGCTTCGGCAGGGCGCTAAATCCATCACTACCTTCGAAATCCTACCGGAACCAAAGAAGACGAGAGGCGGCGACAACCCCTGGCCACAGTGGCCGAGAGTGTTCAGGTATGTAGACTCTTTTCTCTATGAAACTTCGATCGATTAAAATAAAGTATTTGTTGCCGCCAGCCTTATCCCATTTTAGCAGCCTCCTTTTTTATGACTTTTGTGATTTTTGAAATGACAACTTCTGTAGCACCGTTGTGATTTGAAACTCGATGAAACGAAAAAACGACAATATTTGACACAAGGTATCCGTAATTTTGTAACTCTTTAAATTGATTTAATTTGTTTTTTTTAATCTTTTATTTATTTTTCGCAACAATTAAGTATAGAATATTTAATTTTGTCCAGTATTTTACAATACCTTTTATGTTCACACTTTTGTGGGTTTCACTTTTATCGCATGTGAACAGCACGTCCGTTTTTTTTGTTTATTCCTGTCGTTCTATTGATCTTCATTAGTCCGTGAATATATTTATTTCATCGAATTCCTTGTGATAGTTTTTATTTTATTTAAACAACCAGTCCACTGCTCCAACCACCGGTTAGAGTAGTTTTATACTTCAGTAATGATCCGCCCTAGCTTCGCTTCAGTGTAGACAAAAAAAAATGTTTATGGAATTGTTATAAAAATTATAAAACCTTAAGTAAAAAAAAAACTTATTTTAAGCGTATTGTATCAGAATCCGTTGCGTAGCCTAAAAGGAGCTAGCGGATGTAAAGACTGACGCTGTAAGCGGCATATTAACTAGAAATAATAAAAGAAAGTGACAGCATTTATATTAATCAACATTAAAAGAAGAACGTCTCTGAATATAACAAAAGTTATTTATATTATTATTAGCTAATGTTTGTGAGAAGCTCGATAGTGCAGTGGTTAGCGCGTTCTCTTAGTGATGGTGGAAGCTAAACAACTTCTGCAATGGCTAATAATCGTATCTGCAATGGGTATGATTCAAAATATATCCAAGCTCATGAAAGCCCGTTAAACCACTAGTCTCTATATAAAATTTTATCCTGTGTAACATAGCTATGGGTAGATCGCTTAACTGAGTCCTCGCCTGTTATGTAAAGGGTGTAAGGGGAGGACGAAAACGGGGACCGTGAGAGGTGCGGGCGGCGCACATTCGTGTCAAAAGTACATTTTTTTAGCGTGTATGCTGTTGGTCACTGGGCTTGGGGACGGCGAGATCCTAAGGGGATCTCAAGCCGAGAATCAAGAGAGAACTCAAGGCGAGTGCCTCTAGAGGTATTCCAGGCGGATGGCATCTCCCCACGGGGGGAGTCTCCTCCGTCTGGAGCCTCTAGGCCACTCGAACCTGAAGGGGACAAAATTACAAGTGCCCGCTGCCCCTACCTCTCACGTTCCTCGTTTTCGTCCTCCACACCCACACCCTGTTCCCCGCAGGCGAGGTCTCAGTTAAGCGGTTTTCCTAGAACGATATGATTACGAGTGTTTAAATTGATAATAATGTTTAGCATTATTTATAATGGAAAATACCGTAAGTAAAATAAACCTTTTCGTAACTAAAGTAAACCCATCGATAAACAAAAAGCTTGATCTTTCGTACTGTTTGCTATACGAGTGTAATGTTATTACTTCTGAGTTCCTTAAACATACTATTTCGTATTGCGTGCAAGCCAAAATACACCTTAACATATATCAGTGACTTATATTATTAACTCGTACATAGGTTTGATAATGTTGTCTATAAGTAAAAACAAGTTGTTTTCTTAAGCAGGTGACTCTTAAATGATCGTTACTGAACTCGCAATTGAGAGGATTTTTTTTGTTTTTGTCAGCAAAATTATCATTTACAATAAGAACACTTAATATTCAAAACAACCTACCTTTGTACAAGAGTACGCTACTGCACTCATATTCATTAAACAAAACTGTCCTTTGCAATCATATTTTTTTTCCAACATCTTATTTCGTCTTTTGCTCTTGCGTTTTTCTTTCATATAAAAACTTGTTTTGCTCCAAAACTGTTTACTTTTCACGACGAATCAATACCACACCAAAGTCAAAAGATTGGCATTATTGACGTATTCTTATAATGTCAATAATGGTGCCGACAAGTTTGTTTACTCAAATATTCAAGCTCTTTCACCTCTAAAACAATTTGGGATGGCTGATATTGTATAAATAATAATAGTGTTAATACATGTTTATAAGTATTTTATCAAAACTGTATACTTTGTAGGGTTGATTATGGGCACGAGGAGGTGAAAGTCAAGTTCGGCAATGACCCCAGGAAATTCTCCACGCTCACCAAAGAGTTCTTGGACGATGGTAAATTGTTGTTCTTAAGTTTTGTTGAAGTTTGCATTGTAAGTCATAGTAAATCGATTAAGCGCATGACTAGATTATTTCTTTAATAATGTCCGATTCTTGTTGGTGTATCACTCAACTCTACCCTTAGAACCAAAATCGAATTCGTAACGTTTGCGAGTCCGAAATTTAATTGACACATTAGTAGTTGACACATTTTGAGCGCCCATGATTTATAATATCGTTGCTTACTAAATAAAACAGTTTTTAACGGGTTACATGCACTGAATTCATTTATTTACTGATGTGTCCTTTTTCAGGAATGCATCTTCAGAATAATGACTTTTTATTTACTTTTGTAATTATTTTATTAGTAATTCAGTGCATATAACCCGTCAAAAACTGTTTTATTTAATGTGTGATGTGCGTGAAAACCTAAGAATCAAATATCGTTGCTTACATTACTAAACGGATTGTTTCATATACCATATGTTCACTAAAACAATGACAGGTGAAGGCAACGTCTGCGGCGTTTCCGCCGTGGAGGTGGAGTGGAAGCGCGGCGCGGGAGGGAGATGGGAGATGAGCGAGCGAGAGGGAAGTGCGCGCGTGTATCGAGCAGATCTCGTGCTGTTAGCTATGGGCTTCCTCGGCCCCGAGAGATACGTCGCCAATCAGCTCGGTAACTATAAAAATAATATGTAATTAGATGTAGTTACGTCGGTCACATATAATATTGTAAAGGCGAATGTTTGTGAGTGTGTGAGTTAGTATTTTTGTTACTTCACGTCTAAACGGCTGGAGAGATTTCAATAAAATTTGGTATGGAGTTAGCTTGACACCCTGGATTAACACAGGCTACGTTTTACTGCGAGAAAATGTTCCTAATAAACCGCGGATAACACCGCGGGGCACAGCTAGTAACTAATAGAGATGAAACCTCTCGCCTTGACAAGAGATGGCGCTACTGGAGCCTCTCTAACAAAGGCCACTAAACATGATTCCAAATTCATACTATTAACCTTCAATACCTAGCAAATGAATTCGGCTATCCATTCATTGTGTAAGATGATGTTAAACGGAAATCCCAACCAATCCTATGTTCGACGTGTACGCAGTTTTTTCGCCCCGCCCACTTGGTTGCAGTTTGAGTGGAACCACTTTTTATCGCAGTTCGTATACCGTATTATTTAGAACTAGTTGATCATTGTAGCATATAAGATTCTGGAGATCGATGGTACAGATGGTTAGTACATTTGGCTTGCGATCGTGGAAGTTAACGCAATGGCCGGTTATTGAATGGGATGGGTGACCAAAAACCTTATATCTCTCACTCCTCCGTGCTTCGAAAGGCACGTTAAGCCGTTGATCCCGGCTGAATCTGCAGTCGTTAGCACCCACCAATTGGGCTGGCACCACTGGGCCTGCGTAGTGGGTCACGTCCCAATTTATCTGAACCATCAATTACGTAAAGCCTGTGCTCCAGCAGTAGGGGCATTAATAGACTGATGATGATGATATAACATTCATAAAATATATTAAAAGATAAATGGTTACCTGAAAACCCCATAAAATTAACGAAATATTTAGAAAATTATTTAACTAACAACAAAATATACCTAATGTGACAATTTCACCTGATTTGTCTGTTTTGAGCAAAAAGAAACATAAGTGATACAATTTAATGTGTTCAATTAAACTTAACTTTATTAAAATTAATGAATACTAAATAAAACACGTTTCAACGGGTAAGATGTACTTATTTTATTTGTTTATTGACGTTTCGCAGCCTTTTTAAGGTCAGCGTCGTCAGAATAATGATGATATTTACTTGCAATATTTCAAATACGTAGGGTATTTCATTGGAAGATTTCAAAATTTTGTTGTCTATGCACGAATTAATTATCTAATTTAATTAATAAAGTACATTATTAGAATTCTTTTTTGTATTTTGAGTTTATTTGACCCTAACTACCGTAAACTACCACCGGTTCCAAAATCGGGAAACCATTCTGAGAAGAACCGGCGAAACAAACTCAGAGAGGTTTTCTATTGAGTTCTATTGATCTTTCTATTATATGAGTTTGTTTCGCCGGTTCTTCTCAAAAAAGTTTCCCAATTATGGAACCGGTGGTAGTTTACGGTAGTTAGGGTCAAATAAATAAACTCAAAATTACAAAAAACGAATTTTAAATAAAGTACTTTATTAATTAAATTAGATAATAAATTCGTGCATAGACAAAAAAAAATTCTAATGAAATATCCGAACGCTCAATAAAAAGTCATTCGAAGGTAGCTCCACAAAGTAAATAAAATCATTAGTCTGACGACGCTGACCTGAAAAGGCTGCGGAACGTCAATAAACAAATAAAATTAGTATATGTTACCCGTTGAAACGTGTTTTATTTAATGACTGATGTGCGTGAAATCCTAAGAAACAAATAATGAATACTAACTATGTTATGCCTTTTAAATTTAGTAGGAGGAGTAATTCAATGACTACTATTTGTTTTTATAGACCTTCCCTTGGACGCACGCAGCAACGTCGAAACCGACAAAGTTAACATCTACAATACACCAGTCAAGAATGTGTTCGCCGCGGGAGGTATGTTTTTCAGACTACTTTTCACTACCGGGATTTACTTGAGACATATCGTTTAATCCTCATAATACCTAGAAGCATTACGATTTACAATTATATTGAATATGATTTTTTACTGATGATCCAGACCATATCTTTTAATAAGCACATTTTGGTTTAAAAAAGGTACCATAAAGAAAGAGAATGTGCTAATAGTGTATTTGTTACAGTATTAAAAATAAAGTGCCAATTGTTAGCATCTGTGTTTAGAATGAATATTGGCAGGGGTTTTTACTATTTTTACAAAAAAAATATTCATAATTTTACTAAAAACGATAATAGTTTACTTATCTTTACGTGACCCAAAACGCTTGGGATTGGCGGAGCAACTTCCGGTTAAAGTGACATTACATTGTATCGTTTGACGTTTTAATAACAGTCGTGTGATGTCACACACTAGTAAGACGCCATATTGTCCTGAAAAACGTTTTCGCGGCAACTTGAAAATGGAAAAAATTTCACGCGGACCAGGCAGCAGACGGGACTCGAACCCGCACCCTTCGCAATCCGGGCGAATGCACTGACCAATTATGCTACCGCGGCCCTCACGGACCGCGTCGAAATTCCTTCTAGCTATTCTTAAGCTGCAAGGCAGCGCCATCTCTTCGCATTATAGGTAAACCCACAATGTCAAATGAATACTTTTACAAGTATTAAACATTTGAAAGAAGAAATAGCAATTATAGTTATAATTTTTATTATTTTTAAAGCATGTAACTGCTTGATGTTTAAATCTAAAGAAAATATAACTAGAAAAAATTTCACGCGGACCAGGCAGCAGACGGGACTCGAACCCGCACCCTTCGCAATCCGGGCGAATGCACTGACCAATTATGCTACCGCGGCCCTCACGGACCGCGTCGAAATTCCTTCTAGCTATTCTTAAGCTGCAAGGCAGCGCCATCTCTTCGCATTATAGGTAAACCCACAATGTCAAATGAATACTTTTACAAGTATTAAACATTTGAAAGAAGAAATAGCAATTATAGTTATAATTTTTATTATTTTTAAAGCATGTAACTGCTTGATGTTTAAATCTAAAGAAAATATAACTAGAAAAAATTTCACGCGGACCAGGCAGCAGACGGGACTCGAACCCGCACCCTTCGCAATCCGGGCGAATGCACTGACCAATTATGCTACCGCGGCCCTCACGGACCGCGTCGAAATTCCTTCTAGCTATTCTTAAGCTGCAAGGCAGCGCCATCTCTTCGCATTATAGGTAAACCCACAATGTCAAATGAATACTTTTACAAGTATTAAACATTTGAAAGAAGAAATAGCAATTATAGTTATAATTTTTATTATTTTTAAAGCATGTAACTGCTTGATGTTTAAATCTAAAGAAAATATAACTAGAAAAAATTTCACGCGGACCAGGCAGCAGACGGGACTCGAACCCGCACCCTTCGCAATCCGGGCGAATGCACTGACCAATTATGCTACCGCGGCCCTCACGGACCGCGTCGAAATTCCTTCTAGCTATTCTTAAGCTGCAAGGCAGCGCCATCTCTTCGCATTATAGGTAAACCCACAATGTCAAATGAATACTTTTACAAGTATTAAACATTTGAAAGAAGAAATAGCAATTATAGTTATAATTTTTATTATTTTTAAAGCATGTAACTGCTTGATGTTTAAATCTAAAGAAAATATAACTAGAAAAAATTTCACGCGGACCAGGCAGCAGACGGGACTCGAACCCGCACCCTTCGCAATCCGGGCGAATGCACTGACCAATTATGCTACCGCGGCCCTCACGGACCGCGTCGAAATTCCTTCTAGCTATTCTTAAGCTGCAAGGCAGCGCCATCTCTTCGCATTATAGGTAAACCCACAATGTCAAATGAATACTTTTACAAGTATTAAACATTTGAAAGAAGAAATAGCAATTATAGTTATAATTTTTATTATTTTTAAAGCATGTAACTGCTTGATGTTTAAATCTAAAGAAAATATAACTAGAAAAAATTTCACGCGGACCAGGCAGCAGACGGGACTCGAACCCGCACCCTTCGCAATCCGGGCGAATGCACTGACCAATTATGCTACCGCGGCCCTCACGGACCGCGTCGAAATTCCTTCTAGCTATTTTTAAGCTGCAAGGCAGCGCCATCTCTTCGCATTATAGGTAAACCCACAATGTCAAATGAATACTTTTACAAGTATTAAACATTTGAAAGAAGAAATAGCAATTATAGTTATAATTTTTATTATTTTTAAAGCATGTAACTGCTTGATGTTTAAATCTAAAGAAAATATAACTAGAAAAAAAAATTGTGGGTTTACCTATAATGCGAAGAGATGGCGCTGCCTTGCAGCTTAAGAATAGCTAGAAGGAATTTCGACGCGGTCCGTGAGGGCCGCGGTAGCATAATTGGTCAGTGCATTCGCCCGGATTGCGAAGGGTGCGGGTTCGAGTCCCGTCTGCTGCCTGGTCCGCGTGAAATTTTTTCTAGTTATATTTTCTTTAGATTTAAACATCAAGCAGTTACATGCTTTAAAAATAATAAAAATTATAACTATAATTGCTATTTCTTCTTTCAAATGTTTAATACTTGTAAAAGTATTCATTTGACATTGTGGGTTTACCTATAATGCGAAGAGATGGCGCTGCCTTGCAGCTTAAGAATAGCTAGAAGGAATTTCGACGCGGTCCGTGAGGGCCGCGGTAGCATAATTGGTCAGTGCATTCGCCCGGATTGCGAAGGGTGCGGGTTCGAGTCCCGTCTGCTGCCTGGTCCGCGTGAAATTTTTTCTAGTTATATTTTCTTTAGATTTAAACATCAAGCAGTTACATGCTTTAAAAATAATAAAAATTATAACTTGAAAATGGAGTTTTTGATTTGGTTATTTATACTGAAATACACAACAGAATGATGAATATCCACTTTTTACGGACTCCATAAACATCAATAACGTCAGATCGTTTTCTAAAACTTGTCAAATACCCTATTGCTAAGCTTTTACACCCTTATTAATAAAAGAAGAATAAGCTTGGATTAGTTATTCTATGTTTTGTCTCTGTCCAATCAATGACAAAAGGCATTTGAGTGACATGAAAAAAACACGGCGTAACTGGTGTTAAGTTATGTTTTTATTTTTTAATCATTTAACTGATAGATGTTTAAATCTAAAGAAAAGTTTACTACAAAAAAAAAACACGCGGACCAGACGGGACTTGAACCCGCACCCTTCGTCTAAACTAATTCCTTATTTAATAAGGGGGTTAGTGCATGTACTTAAAGTTTATTAACAAACGGAGTACTTTCGTAAATCATTGTATACCAGTAGCTGGCAGATTGCCATCATAAGAGTTTTGTTATCTCTGTTCCTTTCGATCTCATACTAATTTTGTCTCCAATCATTACAAAATTCTCTTTTTTTTTCTTTAAACATTATTTTTTAAATACCCTTTAGATGAGGTACTTCCTAATAGAAGCGTATGCAGCAGAATACACATGTACTTACAAACTAAATATAACTTGTAGACTATCTCTTATCTATTAGACAAGTCCGTCCGTCCGTCCGTCCGTGGTGCTGTTTCAGCGGCCAAACCGTAAGAGATAGATAAAGAGAATGTTTAAGTTATAAGTTGAGAATAGTCTCATAAGACTACAAACCGGATGTGAGTAACGTAGCACTTCCGGTTTTCGAGAAATCACGTGATTTCTATTTCAAACGAAACCACACAAAATCTCCGAAGTTCTCAATTAATTAAATACATTTTTTTTTTGGTGAACATTTGGTTCACTGGTTTGCTAGTATTATTTTAAACAAATTAATTTTTCATTATCGTTTATCATAGATTGTCGTCGCGGCCAGTCGTTGGTAGTATGGGCGATAGCTGAAGGTCGTCAAGCGGCTCGAGCAGTGGATACTTACTTAGGGGGGAGATCATCTCTGCCCGGCCCTGGGGGGGTCATTCTGGACCATTAATGTCCCCAGCCACTCCATCTGGGTACTAAGGGTAACTAACTACTTATAAGTCACCACAAGTTATAGGCGCAAACTAAGTTTGATTCATACAGAAGTCCAACGAAGAAAGGAGATATGATGGAGCAATCGTCATTCTGAGCCAAAAACCTCCCTACCCTTCCATCAGGGTATTAGCTTTTAAGCCGTCACACCTTACAGACAATTAATCGATGCGTGGTCAGAAGAAAAGTGAGAATAATTCATAAAGAATTCCAACGAAAATTGTATTAAAGAGCAACCGTCATTCTGGGTCATCACACCTCACAGACACTTAGCCTAAGCGTCATCGAATATTTTATAGAAAAAAATAACGATAAGACACATAAAGTCCATAGAAAATTGTATTACAGAACAATCTTACGGGATTCCTCTTGCCAATTGGCTCAAGCATTTAAAAATAAATAAAAGGAGATGGTCAAATCTACTGTATGAATGTTTGAAACCTTTAACTGTGGTTTCACTTTCGGTCGATTTTTGGATGACAATATATTAGTGAAGAGTCCAGTAAATATGCAGTTAGTATGGCACCTGCCTGTAATGGTGCAAGTTCAGCAGTTAATCGAGGCGTTCTAGATTGTGCGTCCGTTTTATCTTTAGAATTAGTAGTCGTTTTCGACTAGATACCAATGGTTACAGAATTTGTTACTCTTGGAATATTTATAGGAAATAGTTGCAAGCATTAATTAGCTCAGACCCTTCATATCGCATAGAAGCTTGTGGCTATCATTGTAGTTATGCAAAAGGGATCTTAAAAGATTAAACATTTTTCAAAGAAACATTAAATCGATGGGCCTAATATTAGACTATTAATAATGTAGTACTAAGACTTGTTTTCTCGAAAATTGTTAATAAAATGTTAATAATTAAATATTGTGTATTTTTGTTTGTTAAAAATATGGTCATATTATCCTCTAAATTATGAATAAATGTCCGCCGCCGTACTGCAAAACTGACCACAATGTCAGTCAGGCTATTCAGCATTCCGCCGGTATGTAATGCGGCTAACTTTACAGTTGCATTGTTAATTCCGCTTTGCATAACTACGACCTGTTAAAACATTTATAAAGTGCATAAAAAGTAATATGGAATATCATATGATAAAAAAATATATAAAAACATTAAAAGTGATTGTTTTTATTTATTTATTTATTATTATCATTGTTATGTACTAGTCTTAAAATTATTGAAATATCAATCCGTATTTGCCAATATTTAAATAGAGCTTTTACACAGTAGGTTACACAATAGAGTACTTACTCCTATATGAGTACCTACAAATGAATTAATTTTAATCTCAGTCAGATGAAATCCCTCTTAAACAGTAATATTTCATAGTTAGCACAAGAGCAATACTTATTACTTGATTTTATATAAAGTAACAATCTTGATGCTCCATACCTCTATTTAGTTGAATTACAATAGGAAAGTCATAGAAAGCTTTTTGTATAAAGTGTTCGGAGATCGAGAAAATGATTCGATCATCATAGTTAACACATTTTTTATATTTCTGAATTTTTATTTTATATTATATGTTTACTGTTTGATAAATCATATTCTATTTTGTAATCACATTCCGTTTATGAACATTTAATTGTCGCCTTGTATATTTTAGAGAAACATATCGAGGGTAGCGACGCCCGGTTGTAATACTATGTAGTGAAGCAGTGTCATATGCCGGTAGATTTTTTTATTAACATTATCACGTTTTTAATATTATTAGATGTTTGTTTTTCTTAAATATTTTTTCCGATACTAACAGTATTTAAGTCTTAAATATGTTCGCACGTATTTATTTACAGTAAGGTTTAAAATGAATTATTGTAATCTTTTAAAATAAAGATATATTGAATGTCGTTATTATATATCTCTATGTTCGCAAAGAAGAAGTAATCTTCTCCCATTGTACTAAAAATAACCAAATGTTATGATCAGATATATTAAACGATAATCATTAAAAAAATAATCAAGTTGAACCTATTGCAAGTGATAAAGCGAAGCTGTATCGTTAAAATATGTATCCAGATATTGTATATAATTTAAGGGATTTTATTTTAAAATATTAACTTTAGCGTACTCCTTCCATTGAAATTTGAATCTACTTCATGGTAGGGGAAAGCTTATTTTAAATTTAATGTATATTTAATCGAAAGCGTTTTGTGAGCTAAATGTAAAATGTGGTAAATCGGTTAGTTTGTTCTAAATATAATATTACTTTGAACTTCAATATTATTTGTGATATAACGTAAAAATTTATGCAAATATGTATTTAATTTTCCCAAGCAAACCAATTCTTGTTTTCTGATTTTATTTTAATAACATTTCGTTTCTAAAATAGAATTATTGTATTTTATTTCAAATTGGAGCTGTGATTTAAGATTACAGTGAATGAGATTATTTTATGTAAAAAAATATTGTATAACAATCATTTTTATAGAAGTTCCTACGTGTGCGTTATAATTATATTAAAACTAGAAATTAATTTTATTTATGTCGTCCCTTTTGAAACTAGTCCAGTAACTTAAAAAATAAAATAAATATTACGTTACTTTACATCAAGATACAATTTTCTTTTTTTAAATACAACTTATTATCATTGTAAACCAAAAAGGCTGTTTCTGTGTTAGAAACCGAAATTACAGAATCCTAGCAATATCTGAAGGGACAATCACAATTACGTATTATTGTTTTAGATTCGGTTTAAGTATTGATCTTTCATAGTTTATAAGTTATTAATTGATTGCGATTCTGCAAGCAGCATAATGGGTATCCGCTTCCGTTACAGTCACTCACAATTAATGTCTACTATCAATATTATTGACGCCAATGATTTAGTATGGAAGCTCGCTGAATGCTGCTTAGAAGTCTTATAAGTTACTGTTATACTGTGGTGCTGAAAATAAAAAACGTACCGCCAAGATATATTAAGGACGTGGCCACATCACGATCAGCGCTTCACCGTAAAATTTTACCGTACCGTGGGAATTCGCCGTACAGGCTCGATGAAGACGGCATTTCCCTAAGATAATTATGTGTTCTTCCATCTAATATGTTCTCATAATCACAATCAACATTACTGGAAGATTTCCTTAGAACATAACTTTTTAAAATTACTCGACTTACCAGTGACTTGATGGGATGTGCCCACACCATGTATGTCAGGCTTATACAATACGTTTATGTATACTTATGCGTGCATGCTCATACCTACCATTCGACCCGAATTGTTAATTTGTTTAATTTATAACTTTTGTAATTGAACATTTTGTATGTATATATTTTTGTCGATACGTAATAGATATGGTTAACATTAATCGTTCAAAATTATCATCCTCTTAAACTAATGTAAAGGCCAAATTTAAACCTCTAGGAATGCAGTGTCAATTATTGTTAAAAGCTTTTACCAAATCATCACTTATACAATTAATATTGATTGCTATATTTAGATCAAAATGTTGAAAATTTAGCTTAGATGTTAAAAATTGACAGTTCTATATTATTATATATAATTGACAATAATTAAATGTTTATTCGTAGCTAAATCCTGTATCGAATATAAACAAATTTGTGAAATAAATATTTCAGCACATACTTCACGTTTTATTTAGTACTTATTAAACCTATACATCTACCTATAGTCTATCTATCTATCTATATAGTATCTTCGTGTCATGAGTGCGGTGCTTGGTGGACACGGTGCAGCACACCCTAGAGGAGTGCCCGTCGTAGGCGCAGCAGCGCGGCACTGACAGCGGCGAGTGGGAATGGATCTCTCGATCCCCAGCGTGGTCCAGGTCATGCTGGGAAGCGACAGATCCTGACAAGTGGTGGTCTCCTTCTGTGAGGAGGTCATCTCACGGAAAAAGCGGCGCGAGGGACAAGCCCTGGAGGACTGATCGGCGGCGCCAAGCCCGCCGGCTAGCCCTCTAGCGGAACCATCTGTTACTGCCAGAGAGGGGCTGCTCCGCACCATCGCGAGGGGGTAGGAACCCCCTCCCCAAACCCATCTCGCAATTACCTGCGTCGCGAGGGTTTGTTCACAGCAAGCCAAAGCGGCGTTGATCACTGTCATGGAAATAATGCATTTTTTTCCCCGTAATCAAAAAAAAATATTGGGTAGTGGGGGGGCGCGGTAGGGCGAATATGATTCCTGTTTTGTGAATGTTCAAAACATGCAAGAAATAATAATACTTGGTCAATTTTATTAGACCACAATAATATTTGGTCAATTTCAATAAGCCTTATCAGCTTTTCTAATCCCACAACTAAGTTTTGGAAATGGACGTATGGTACTTTTTTTAACACGTGGCGCAAAAAATTACCCCACCTGATATTAAGTAAGAGTGAAGTCCATTCGCGAAGATAGATGATGCGGCAGAGAGTGTACCGCTCCAGCCATCGACACCTAGCCGGCAAGAACCCAATCCTGCGAAACCCTGCAACTACTCACCGACAGAAACACAACACCCAGTTCCGTCTTTGACCTATTGGAGGCTCTGGGCATATTAGGATAATGAGGCCCCTATGACTTCCGTTTGGTGATTTAACAGGAACTAGGGAATTTGTATTTGATCTGAGGGGGCCCCCTATCGATGGCGGGGCCCTGGGCACTTGACCAAAGTGCCCACTGGGAAAGACGTGTCTGACAACACCACCAAAAGCTAGTGTTCTTTTACTGTGGTCTTCAGTAAGGTGGGGGTTGCTTGCCCACACGGGCGCTCCGATTCGAGAGAAAAATCCGCTATGCTCACTCTTGAATAAAGTTCATGGTTTTGGCACTCACCTTCAGAAGAAGGTGAGTACGGGTAAGGAATCAGGTTCAGCAGATCACAGGCTGGCTGTAGTGGAGCGATACATGTTTCTGCCGCATGAACTCCGCAACTGGATCCCACTAGGGTAATTTGCTACTCCTTGTCAAGTATATAAACATAACTAACATACTTACTTGAAACTACATTTTTAAAATATGTCTTATGAAATTAAAATGTCTAAATTAAATAGATGCTAGCTGTTGTTACAGCGATGAAATCGGTGAAATGGAAAATCTATTCAACATATTCATGTGGTCTGTCTGAACTCTGCCATAATTAATTTGACAACACCTTCACGGGTTACTGCACGCATATTAATTTAAAATATGCCCTTCTTTGAAATTCAGCATCAGTTCAGTTGAGTACCAGACACAACTGAAGACACTTGTGGTGAGTGAAATACCTGTTGATAATTTTAATATTAAAAGACATAAAAAGAGAAAAAAATCAAAGAAAACTCAAACCAGGAACGTATGCTTATAAATAGTGGCCACACATGCTTACTTAGTAATTACATATGCAAGTATTGTTATTGATTAAGTAAAGGAATTATTTTTTGTCTATTCTACCTACTTTACCAATACATTTTATTATATAACAAAAAACAATAACCAGGAATTAGAAACAAAATGTTGGTGTGCAACATCCATTGCGGTAGGTGTGAGAGCAGCTATTGAGTGGTGACGCTCAATAGCAAATATCTACAAGCTCAGAGCTTTATGATATGCGTTCTTAGAGCATGCTCCAAGTATGCGTCGTAATTTGGTCAAAATTTGCGAGAGCTCAGCGGTGGTCTTTAATTTCAGACAATGAAAGTAATGCAGAAACTTCAAACGTTGCGTAAGGAGATCGAAGTTAAATTTCAAGAACAATTTGGTTTCAAACTGCAAGATGCAACATTTACGAAAATCGTAGCGTATTTACATGAGCCAAAAGACGCCTCAAGTCTCGCTGTCACCAGGATATTGTTTGGTGAGTGTTAACATAAAAAGCGGACAAGTGCAGGTTGGACTCGCCAACCAAGTGTTCCGTACAATATTATAATTACTTAGAAAAGTTTGAAAAATCTACAAAAAGATTTGTCCACTCGTACAATTAATGACCGCGCGCATAAATGCAAAAGTTACTTTGCCTCTCTTGTCTATCCATCACTTCTGCCTATCTGACTCTTTCACGCCTACAGCGGTGGTAAACCAATATCGATGAATTTTGCTATACAGTTATAGGGAACCGTGAAGTAGGATAATAATTATTGACTCTTTTATATGTTCAAATAATTTGAGACTTGAATTTGAAACAAACAACGTCGCTCCCTTTCGGTATCGCCACAACTCTTGAGCCGTGTCAAAGTTTTATCAGAAATATGGCTTCTATGTAGTATTATGATTCTGTGCAGGACTGGCGATGTTATTCGACATCCCGGACGAGCGTGGCGGTGCGGCCATGGAGCGTCGGTGGGGAGACCCGACCACCTGCCACTTTCCCCTGCTGCCGCTATTGCAGCCAGTGCCCATGCCGTACATGGCACTCGTGTACGCGGCCATGTGGATAGGTATTATTAACATAGGGAATGGAACTGACTGAGCAACACTCGCATGGAATTGGCAAGTCTCCTAGATTTTATTGAGCTTTTACAAAATCTATCTTAATATATATAAATCTCGTGTCACAATGTTTGTCCTCAATGGACTCCTAAACCACTGAACCGATTATAATAAAATTCGCACACCATGTGCAGTTCGATCCAACTTGAGAGATAGGATAGTTTAAATCTCAAATTATAGTCGCAATTATTGCAAATTATTACTTTTGGGCGGTACGAAGTTCGCCGAGTCAGCTAGTAATAATATATATAAGAGACTTGTCAATTCCATATGTCAATTCCAATTCCACAAGTGTGAAAGCGATGGTGCAGTCCAAGTCCAGTCCAAGGCTGCCGCCCATTGATACACGCGAAGAAGAAGAAGAATTATCAGCACCATAGATCAGCAGTTATTTTTTTATGGCACTGATTTAAAAAGACAGATGTAAATAGTAGTTTTGGTAAGTTAAAAATTATAAATGGCACGTTTAATAACTAGTTCAGCAGTTAAAACTAAGCAGTAAAGTAAACAAAATGAGTAATAAAAAATAATGAAATGGATCATTGAATATATAATTGAGACGGCATTAAATAATTAAATGGGCGGTAAAAAATATGGAACAAGCGGTTACGTGTGGGCAGTAATAAATCGGAATTTGTCGGTAAGAAATCTCATTCTAAGCAATTCTATAAACAATGAGGTGGTAAAATAAAATAAAAAAACAGTACTTAAATAGTAATGAAAAATTAAATTACTTTTGCTTTGACTGAAGGAATTAAATAAAACAAATTGTATAATAATAAGAGGAACTTTTATTCGTAATTCTAAACATACTTAAGTAATTACAATGACATAGAATTTGCTTAGTAAATAAAGTTATTATATAATAAGAGTAGGCCACCCACGCTAATAAACTCTAACTAACGAACATTTACCCCTCTTTTCAATGAATTTGAGTTTGAGTGTCACCGCTCGCTTATGATCGGCCGAACTACCTATCGAACCGCTTATTCCATCATTTCTACCGCTCATTCCGTTATTGGACTCAAATATTTTTAGAATTAACATTGTATGATATATTGATGACTAATTGATTTTTAATTACTGTCCATGTTTCACTATCGCAATAATTAATCAACCGCCATTAAATTAAATAACTGCTCAATAAGTTTTTTAACTGATCCTAATAAAATCTCGAATATTTAATTAACAGGTCCAAAAAGTTCCCTTTTTTATTTTTAAAAAGGAGCGTTCAGTCCATCTAGTTAACGAGTTTGTCCGCAACTCGTCGCCGTTATGGCACCAGTTAAAATACGTGTGGAGGGTGTATTAGTCAATGCCGGAGTCAAGCCAACCCAGCTTCGTCAAGAAAACGCCCAGGATCTTCGCAATATCAATACCAATTATTTGCCTCTTGGAGGTTTCTCGGTGATGAGCCTAGGTATTATGAGAAGTTCAGTGTATTTCTCTATGTCCAGGTATATTGTATAACTAGCCATTTTTTGTGACGGTAAAGCTTTAAATTAAATCCAACCACACACTATGTGATTGGTTTAAAGTTGTCATGTTACTAATATAGGTGTATTATCTATATAGTATCGAATTTTCAAATGTCTGCCAACTCCTATAGACAAAATTCTATGAAACTTTGTCTGCCTTTAAAAAATGTGACGATTACTTACAGTAAAATACAGTTTAAAAATTGAGGATAGCCAACATCATCATCATCATCAGCCTATTAATGTCCCCACTGCTGGGGCACAGGCCTTCCCTATGGATGGAATAGGGAGATAAATATGATAATAGCCAACATACTTACCCATAATCATTCTCATTTTCGATAAAGTAAGGCAACAGGAAAATTTTAGAACAGTTATAACGTATTACGTGTTGGTACTATTCAAAATTGTAATATGCAATAGTTTTTTAATAATACATTTCATTAAGATAATTGAATTAAAATTGCTTGTTGACAAACAACACGCACTAACATATCAATAAGCTACCAATACTAATTTAATTTATAATAAGGTAATGGGGAATTTTAACATTAAAATACAATGTTTAATCATAAACCAGTTTGAAACTCGAGAAAGGTAAACAGTGTTTAGATAATTAGGAAGAATACCTACTTAATTGAAAATGTTTGTTGCTGTTAATTTGAACAACAAAACGCTTTGATAATGACTGCTTGATTACGTTACTAATAATGTATTACTATATTCTTTTATTTTTTAATCATGTAACTGCTTGATTTTTAAATCCAAAAAAAATATAACTAGAAAATATTCCACGCGGACCAGGCAGCAGACGGGAATAGAACCCGCACCCTTCGCAATCCGGGCGAATGCACTTGCGAATGCAGTGTCCAAATTGTGGGTTGCCTGCAATGCGAAGGGATAGCGCTGCCTTGCAGTTTAAGAATAGCTAGAGGAATTTCGACGCGGCCGTCAAGGGTAGCGGGAGCATAATTAATTAATTATAATCTTAATCATACTTATCACGTATTCGCTAAGATCTAAGTATCTACTGAAAACTGGAAATTGATTTTTAAATAATACAATTACTGCTGTTTACTAAATAAGTTTATTAACTGTCATCAGTAACATCAAAAAACGGAACGTGAACGTATAACGGCCACAAATGGTTCTGAGTATTAAATTTAATTTAAGCATATTAAACGTGAAAATTTCCATTTAAATGGCAAAAATATAAAGTGACCGTCGTAAATAAGCTGTACAAACGTTTTCTCGCAAAATAACAGTGTACGAAAAAGATAAAATAACAAAACAGTTTACTTGCCTATCTCCGTGAATATTTTTCGTTTTTTGAAGACGTGAAGAACACTCAACATTAATATTAGCACCAATAAGTGAAGTATAAAGAAAACCAGAAATATATTACATTTAACAGTGAGTAAACATTAAACAAACCCTTTATTAAACAAACTGATTTGTCCCAAAAGCTGTTGACATTTCTCTAGTAGGGTATACAAACATCAGCTGGTTTACTTATCAACAAACAGCTGTGCGATCTAATACGAATATAACTCTGACGAAACAATATATTTGCGCCATCTATTCACCACAAGGAGGATTACAAACTTAATACCTGTAAAATGGATGAAAACTGTAAAATATGCAAAAAGTCCGATATAAATATAAAAACATTAAAATGCATTACTTGTAATCAGAAGTATCACATAACCTGCGGAAATGTGTCTGAAAAGAGATTTTATCTTATGTCTAAACAAAATCGAGAAAATTGGAAATGTGACGAATGTATTCAAAAAACACATACTCACCATATCATTGAAAATATATCGGTTAATAATTCTTTTCAATCCTTGACTGATGAAGAAGAAGCATATATTTCACCAAAAAATCGATCAAACAGCAGTTGTCCCAACTTAATAAGATTAAACATGGAAGGTAAAATAGATGAACTAGAACGACAAAAGAAAATATTACAGGAAAAATTGGCTATTGCAGACAACGAAATCGAAAATTTAATATCAGAAAGAAATAATCTAAGACAGCAACTAACAAAACAACAATCAAAAGGTAAATACGTAGCAGATATTTGTAATAGTAGCTCAAAGAAAAATATTACTCACAGAAGGAAAAGAAGTAATTTAAATGGTCGGTTATTGGATTTTTCACAAGAAAATAATAGTCCAACCACTAATATAATTAGCACGACGCCATCTAGTGAAACAAACAAAAACAAAAGTAAAGTATCTCCGGTGCTTAACATCTCAACAACTGGTCATTCAGTATCATTTTCAACACAACCAACAGATGTCTCTTATATTAAGGAGCAACAAAATAGTTCTAAAAAATCGAAAATTTATATAATTGGCGATGATCAAGTATTGGGTCTTGCACAACAAATAAAAAAGGCTCGTTCCGGAAAATGGAATGATAACTATGAAGTTACCGGTATGGTGAAACCCTCGGCATCAAGCTCACAAATATTAAGTAGTTGTACTAATTTAAAGAACTCATTGACTAAAGAAGACATAATTATTTTATCTATTGGTTCAAACGATAAAAGCCCCTATATTGTTATTTCTAACTTATGTAATACTCTGTGCAATTTAAACATTTGTAAAATATTTATATTAAGTGTACAGCATAATAGCTATGTTAATATAAATAAGTTAAATACAAAAATCCATTTAATTACTAAGAATTATGTAAATTGTTCATTCATAAACATTAGGGCACTGACAAAAAGAAATTGGTTAAGCGACATGTCAATCAAAAGTTTAATGAGCTTTAAGTTAAATGTAGAAATCGACCATTTAAAGTATGTTAATGACTACATAACAAATGTTACTCAATCTATACAATTATATAAGAGAAACTATATTTCGGGAATTTCTGGCCAGAAAAAGAACCAAACTGCACAACCTAGGAAGGGCACTATACCCTTATATTTTTCTGCATTAAAAACACCATCACTCAATTTCATACAGCCACAAAAAAATAATGAGACAACTTTTTTTCGGTCCTCAATTGCACGGTAAATTTTGTATTTTGCATCAGAATATACAGGGTTTGTTGTCCAAAAAGGAGGTAATTGAGATTACATTGTCAAAAGAAAATTGTTTATATCCAGATGTCATTTGTTTTTCAGAAACATTTGTAAAGAGAGGGGATGAAAAAAATATAAATATTAATAATTATCAACTTGCATCACATTTCTCAAGAAAAAATAAAAGGGGAGGGACTTGTATTTTAGTCAAAAATGGAATATCATTTAAAAAAATTACCACATTTGATGATATTGCACTAAATTTTCATTTTGAGTGCTGTGCTGTTGATATTCCTGCACAAGATGTTATCATTGTTTGCGTGTACCGGTCATCAACTGCTACGAAACGGAGACACTATGAATGCTTTTTTGACAAATTTGAAACTTTGCTATATAATTTTCTACGTAAATATAATAAAAAAAGACTAATAATATTGGGTGACATAAATATAAATACTCTAATTGAAAATAAATCAACTAAACAACTCACAGATATTCTAATAAATTACAACTTAAAACAACACATAACTCAACCAACTAGAGGGCGCTCATGCCTTGACCACATATTCAGTAACGTTGCAGGAGCCTCTGGTTCTCTAATCCCGCTCTGCCTCTCTGATCATGATACGGCCCAGATACTTACGTTCAATAGCAAAATCAAACCAAAAATAGACAAAGCAATGTTCACTTTTAAAAGATGCTACTCACAGGAAAATATTGAAAAATTCCAGGGTTACTTAAAAAGTTTATCCTTCTCTGAAGTTTACAAAGAAAAAGACCCCCAAACCGCCTTCAATATATTTTATGAATGGTTTTGTCTGCTATACAAACTGTGCTTTCCCATTATTAAAATAAAAATTAATACCGCGAGAAATCTGTCGTGGATAACAAAAGGACTCAGGAAGAGCTGTCTCACAAATAGAAAACTAAGACTTAAACATTTAACGAAATTAAATAGCAATAATAAATTTAAATATAAAAAATATTCAAAATTGCTAAAAACGTGCATCCTTATGGCTAAAAAATCAACAAATAATAAATATATATTAAAAAGTAAAAATGTATGTAGGGCAACTTGGAATGTAATAAAAAACGAAACTGGTCTCGAATCGTATTACAACAATTTTATAGACAGAATTAAACACAATGACACAATTATTGAGGATCCAAATATAATAGCTTCTATTTTTAATGACTTCTTCAGTACATTGACAGATAACAATTCAAATAATAATGATAATTCCAATAATTATTATAATACAAATAATCCTAATAAAAAAAACTTATGTGACAACTTAACCAATTCAATTTATCTTTCTCCTATTAACGCATGTGACATTAAGAAAACTATCATGACATTGAATAATACAAACTCTGAAGGCTATGATGAAATTAACACAAAGGTTATTAAAAGCTGCAGGGATCAGATAGCCACATTATTAGCATACTTAATAAATTTATCTTTGGAAACTGGGACCTTCCCAGATAAACTGAAATATTCAATTGTTAAGCCACTCTTTAAAAAAGGTTCTAGGTTAGAGTTAGACAATTATCGACCAATTACACTAATACCAATTCTATCTAAGATATATGAAAAGATAATGCATGATAAACTTACGTCATTCTTTGTTAAGTACAAAGTATTGAATGATAATCAATATGGCTTCCTGAAAAATAAATCGACTACACTTGCTGCCTTTGAGTTAGTAGATCATACTCTAAGAAGTATAAATGATAGGAAGGAAACTTCAGTCCTTCTATTTGATATGTCAAAAGCTTTTGACTTTGTATCACACAATAAACTATTTTTTAAATTGGAGCAAAGTGGAATTAGAGGTAAAGCACTAAGTTGGATCAAGTCATACCTTCAAAATAGGATGCAGTCAGTGGAAATTGCTCAACTTAGTAATAAACAAGTGATACATAAAGAACAATCAAATTTCACAGAAACTAATTATGGTGTGCCCCAAGGCAGCATTCTCGGCCCTTTGCTGTTTTTAATCTATGTGAATGAGTTACCTAAAGTGACGAAACATAAATGCATCCTATATGCTGATGACATTTCAGTTGTAGTAACAACTGATAAAAATCAAAACATAAATTACCATGAAAATGACATAAATAAAACAATTGAATCGATAATAACGTGGCTTAATGATAACAATTTAAAAATCAATATTAACAAAACACATTATATAAACTACGGTTACAATCAGACATTGAATATACATTATGGGAATCATTGTATTAAAAAAACAAGCAGTGCTACTTTTCTGGGCATTGAGCTTGACCAAAAAATTGATTGGAAATTACATGTAGACAAGGTATGCAATAAAATAAATAGATTTGCTTACGCACTTTTTAAACTTACTAAAACAGCAACTAAAAATACGGCTCTAACAGCGTATTTTGCTTATGTGGAATCGGTCTTGCGATATGGGCTTATTGTTTGGGGAAATAGTACGGACATACAAAGGGTATTTGTAGCACAGAAAAAGTGCATAAGGGCAATATGCGGGATTGCACCAGATATGTCATGCAAACCATTTTACAAACCCCTAAATATTTTGCCTCTGCCATGCCTCTATATCCTGGAGATATCTAAGTTCGTAAAGTTAAATCAAAATTACTTTAAAACTGCCCGTGAGATATTTCCTACAAATACAAGACATGGTAAAAGGTTAGTCATTGATACAATCCCGAAAAGCACACGTTTTAAAAAGAACTGTTACTATATGTGCATTCAAATTTTTAATAATATTCCACATTCAATAAGAGATTTGCCTTTCAGTAGATTTAAAATAACACTACGTAGATGGCTCATTGAACGTAAATTCTACTCGGTCCAGGAATTCTTGAATTATGATAGCTAATATATAAATAATAGTAATTTTGGTGGATGAGATTTTGAGTGACATATACTGATTTAATTATATTTTTGATTCACATTTTAATATGACCTGATTTTAATCGAATTTTTATATTTTTGACTATTTATTTTGTGACCTGTTAAGTAATTTTTATTCAATCATGTGACATAGTATTAATTAATTTGATAAAAAACTGATGTAAATTTGCATGCTACGTTCTATAGCTGAATAGGTGAAACCTACAGTAAAGTTATGTGTAACTATTTATGACCTTGATTACCCTGTTCAAACGCAAATAAATAATTATTCTATTCTATTCTATTCTATTCTATTCAGGTGCAGCAGGTATAATGCTCGGATACAAGTATGGCATATCCTCCACCATGTTCACACTCTGCTACTGGTACTTACTGTTGATTGAGAAGAGCTTCTGGAACAACCACAGCTACTTGTTCGGGCTAGTTGCCCTGCTGCTGACTTTCACGGACGCCGCTTGCTATTGGTACTAATTTCAATAAAAGCAATTTTTATTACTGTTAAGAATATTCGTCATGCAAACATTAGTTAGGCGTTACAGTTAACGTCAATAAAATTCTCACCAAAAGGAATCAGTTCTGAGATTAAATTACTTGTGTTTTATGAGTATACTCATCACAATTTTTTGCCAAATCTTAAGTCAAGAGGGATCAGTGAAATATCAATTCACTGGTCTTTGTTTGGGCGCCAAAATGTAGCCTCAGGAAGAGAATGAGGATCCGTAACGCTTTTAGTTGAGAATGCGGATTTATGGAGCTAAGGATTCTATAAAATACAGTGGTTAAAATTTTGTTCTACGACAAATATTGACGAAGTTATGACCAAATTCCAAACAAATTTTCGACTGGCCGCGTAGTGACTGTGACGTCACAGAGCTCTAGAGCGTGCATAGAGACGCTACTAAAGTTCGACCGGAATGAACTACGAGTATGATCGAGCTCTGTGACGTCACATGTTTCGGCCGGCAGTGAATATTGGCTACCATAAAATTAGTTATAAAATCGCAAAGAATGAACCGATTTCGATGATTTAAAAAGTATATTAATAAAAAAGCTTAATAGATCATTATACTTTTGATTTTGAGTTGATTTGACAACCTAGCAATGATCCTTGATAATTAACTCATTTAAATAAATAACAACACCTACATTTCTCATCAATCCCAATGCTAATTCAATATCAGTCATTCATTCACTTGTGTAACATATATCATATTTACAGGTTCGGAGAAAAAGAAAAACATATTTATTTACCTTGTTAGCTCAGCGAATCGATACGAAATTTTACTTTCAATAGACAACATTGTCTGGTTCTTGTGCCAATTCTGGCTAGTTATGCACTGAGATAACTCAACTCCTGGATACGATAGGAAACCAATCAAGATTAATTTGTACCAATGTTTCAATATGTACTGTGGTTTTTTAAGTAAGATAGCTAGGTGGGTAAATTCATAACCAAAACTTTTCCAGGTCATTAGACGTCTACCTTGATCCGTCCAAGAAAAAAGAGGCAGTTCCATACTGGCACTACTTTATTTTAAAGTATCAATTCTTCATCCTTTACTTCATGGCTGGCATCAAGAAGAGTACGTCGGAATGGTTGACTGGATACTCGGTGCAGAACCTAAGCGAGCATTGGGTCTTTGCTCCTTTTAGGTAAAGTATAAATGGGTATTGGGTATCAACATTTCTTTATTTCCAAGGAACGGTAAAGAAGCATAATTATGTACCGCCTGATGCAAAGTGACCGCCATAGCTTTGTAGACCCTCGACATTTTATATCTATACATATAGGGTGTATTCCGAAATATTAATCAGTATACTGGCCAGTGGTAATGACGTCACGAATCCGACGCCATCTTGTACTGGTATGCTACCATAATTTTGCCGGGAAAACGAATATGACGTATGACCGAGCGTGCGTGAGATGCATTCGAATTTTATTTCTTTTTTATTTAAAGGATAATAATGGCATCCGAACAAAAAGAATTCCTTTTAATTGATGAGGTGGATAAAAAGTCTTCTTTATTCGCACTCTTTTCAATATTTCGACGATTTATGACGTCAGTGCACTGGCCAATATATTTCGGAACAATTCAGCAGTATAGCGTCGATTCATGACATCATTAGCACTGGCCAGTATACTGGTATACATTACGGAATATACCCATAATAAAATGGTAGGAGAGTCAAAACTGTACATTGAATATTTTTTTAAAAGAATACTTGGGGTGTGATCTACAATCGATACCGAAGCCAAAATTTTTTTTTTTAATTTTTGTCTGTATGTATGTCCGGGATAAACTCAAAAAGTACTGCATGGATTTTCTTCAAATTTGGTACGAATATTATTAAGAAGTCGCGTATAGGCTACATATTATCACGCTATCCTCTAGGGGAAACGAGCAGTGAACCTTTATCCTTTACCTTTTAACTCCACGCGTACAAAGTCGCGGACGGCCGCTAGTATGATATACTCGTATATGACGACCTCCGTGGCCGAGTGGTTTTTACGCCGGGTTTCAAGGTGTCGATCCCGAGTTCGAGTTCCGGTGGTAGCAGATGTTTATGTGATGAATACTAGCATTTGTACTCCAGTCATGGATGTTTAATATGTATTTCTATATAAATATAGTTATATATGTATCAGTATATATATAACTATTCATACATTAGTATTCTATCTGTTACCCTAGTATCCCTTAACACAAGCCTATAGTGCTTACTTTGGGGCTAGGCTAATTGGTGTGAATGTTGGAAATATTTATTTATTATTATTTATTATATGAAGTGTGTACCTTCGAGGATCTACACTTCAGATCTGCATCTGTACTACAGACTAGTATTTCATAAACTTTTAGTTTAACAGTGAAGAACCCTTTTTCAGGTTTTAAACTATTTCCACGATTTCCTGGTGATAGTATGGTTAAACAATAAAAAAAAATTTCACGTGTTTGCTTTTTTTTCTTGAATAAGTTTTGTCAAAGTTTGCATCGTGAGTGCACGACAGTGAGAGTAGCTGGACCGGCATGTTTTGTGCCATTTTTGTGCCGCATCAGATAACGTCGCAATTAAACTCCATTTACAATGTCAATGATGTTTAAGTATGCCTTTACCCACGAAACAGAAAAAACCAGGTGTCAAAACTGTGTTCGTACGTCACATAAGTTATTAATGTTTGAGTTGATATTTCATAAATTTCCGAATTGGTATTATTAATCGATTCTTAATGGCCATATCATAGTACCTACCTACGGCACCTATCAGTAAAAAAATACGTCAATTAGGAACTAAATGACGCAATTCACGCGGTCGGCGGCGGACAGTAACGGATGTCGGATTCTACGCAAATTACAAAATGGCTTTTCATGTAAAACCTAATCATACTTGAACTATGACAACTTTGAATTTCGTATAAAATTGTGCTTTCAGCGAGAGAAAATTCAGGAAAACCTAAAAATTTTATATAAGAACTAGCTCAGCCAGCGAACTTCGTATCGCCATAAAAATGTGGGTGGTAGAAGTGTGAAAAGGAGATTGGTCAAATTGGCCTAAATGCAAATAAAATATTGACATATACAGTAATTCTTGGCGTAATTTATACTTTATTTTACAGTCATTAGATTTTAACGGCCACCTTTAAATAATATATTAATTTTAAAAAAGGACTTCTATTTTTACCGGTTTGGAAAACATACGAATCATTTTTATTGGCTATGGGTGTAGTAACATTCACAAAGACTGATCGAGGTTGTTTATATAACATCAAAACAAATCTATTTTGTAAAGATTGATAAAATATATTTTTTTTTTATTACACGGGTGGTATTAATATCCACAACTTTATTATCATTTTTACTACATGCAAATGTGCTAAGACAATTAATATAGATGGTAGGCAACATCATAAAGTCTATTGCCGTACATTTTTTGCCAAACACCTAAATAAACACATTATAAGTTGTGATACACTAAAAATCTAAAATATGGTTATAATAAAAACATAACAAAAATAATGAAGCTGCTGAAGATATGGCTGTATAACCTACAGCTCTTAGCTTTCTTTGATTAACGAGAGTTTAAAAATTCTCTCTAATCTGTGGCTCAATCACAATCATCACACAGTTTCTGTTCGTGTTTTTAAAAACATGCACATATCTGTTATTTTACATGCTCTATATACCTGAATCTAATACATAATATCGGTAGGTGCTTGGCTTGATTGCCCTATTTTCCTATATAAGTTATTTGGTTTTTATTATTCTAATACCTATGTGCCTATTTGCAAACATAACCTCAAAATCATTCAGTGTATATGGTTTATAGAAGTTCTCAGGAGTGGCCGTCGATAATATTCGTTTCTACGGTAATTTATATATAATTTCGAATGTAGGAAACAATTTTTCATGGTTATTGGTTTTTAGGCCAAACATGTTTGGAAGCTGAGCAATCTCCTTTAGGGTTGTATGTATTTTTGTATGAAGTATCATAAAAAAAATATAACAAGAAATGTTGTCCAATAAATAAAGAAAAAATTTCATGGTGGACCACCCTTAGCATATAGGGGGATGAAAAATAGATGTTGTCCGATTCTCAGACCTACTGAATATGCATATAAAATTTCACGGAAATCGGTCGAGCCGTTTCGGAGGAGTTCAATTACGCACACCGTGACACGAAAATTTTATATATTACTTACTAGCTGTCCCAGCGAACTTCGTACCGCCATAAAAAAATAGGGGTTGGTGGTAGAAGGGTAAAAATTTAGGGTTGTATGTATTTTTATATGATGTATCATAAAAAAATAAAAAAAAATATCAAAAATTGAAAAAAAAAATTAGGGGTGGATTACCCTTAACAATTAGGGGGATGAAAAATAGATGTTGTCCGATTCTCAGACCTACCCAATATGCACACAAAATTTCATGAGAATCTGGAAAGCCGTTTCGGAGGAGTTTAACCACAAACACCGCGACACGAGAATTTTATATATTAGATATTAAATTTTTTAATTAAAATATAAAAGGTACTAAATATTTGTATTTAACTGCTTTTGTAATTTCTTCTAGCACTCGGGCAAAAATTCTGAAATGTTGTTAACCGATTAGAAACGTAGTTAGGATATAAAAAGTAGTACCATAATGATGCACAATTTTGTTCCAATCAAATCCAAACCATTATCGTTATCCGTCGATAGTTTTCAAAAATAAGCCCGTCCCCCAGAGGCGTCTTTACCTATGGTGCAGGGTGTGCGTTGCACACGGGCGCAAAGTCCTAGGGGGCGCCGAGCGCCGACGCCGCTCGCTACGAAGCCCCACTTGCCGCACACGACGGCCGTGTGACTTACTTTTTTAAATTTAATTTCTAAACAATAGAAGTTATTATTCATTTTTGAAATTTGACAGTTTGATTTATGTGTTTTTACTTGTACTTTTTACCCATTCCATTGTGATCACACGCTTACTAGCTAGGGGGCGCTAAGATAATTTTGCACACGGGCGCCATATGGGCTAGAGACGCTTCTGCCGTCGTGTAGGCGCGTTATTGTCGTTAGACACGAGTCATATGGGATGCGTTTATGCGATATATGTTTTTAGTACATTATGTATGAGAATGGCTATGAAGTTAGACACTGCTGCGATAATAACGACGAAATAGAAGTATGAAAAAATATTGCAATAACGCTTCAGATAATATCGACCGATGATAACTCATCCTTGGCTTAACTCATTACGCGAATGTTGCGCGATAACAAAAGAAAAATTCTACATACTCCTGCTCCCGTAGCATGAGCACACAGTTTACATTATATCAGATTTTTTATCGCGCCTAACTGTCAAACTCCATAGTAATTTGACAATGATTCGAAGCTGGCGGAAAATTTTAAACCTTTACAGCTATGCAGAGATTTTGGTCGCCTGTGTTCACGGTTCTTTCATGGCGAGTGCTCCGAGGAGTTGGTCCAGTTGATACACACAGCACTATTTTACCTCCACACCACCCGTCACGGGAGGCGAGTTCACCCATATTATCTCGAAACACTGAAGTACATAAATATTCGTACCCTGAGATATTTTTTTCACGCTTCAGATATTTATAGAATGATCTCTCCTCCACGGTGTAACAGTGTAATATAGCATAGTCCTTTTAAAAAGAGACCTAAAACGATTGTTCTACGAGAGACAGCGGCATGGCTGTTAGAAAACCAGGTAGGCTGTTTGGCGTGACTGGCTGTGAAGCGACTCTACAGCACAGATAAATCTTTAAGGTTTTTGTGCTGTAATGATGTTTTTATTGTATGCAAATTAAGTAATAAATAAATTGAAAGAAAAAAACTGACATTGCTAACCCATTGGGCGATGGTGACCACTCGTAGGCAATAAAAATAAAATAACTAAAGTTACGCACCACATGCTTTATGTGTAATAGTTTATTTTGTACTTTTGAGCTCATTCTGTTAATAAGTTTATTTACTAGAAATAATACGAGTTAATGCAAAACGAATTAGGAAAACATTGATAACCTTGATGCAAATTACAAGGGGATCAACACCAATGCAACCAAAAAGTAGACGTTTTTATCGATTGTGCTAAAAGAAATATTTAGTTTACATTATTGAATAAAATCCATGTAATCCTCTGAGCGTAGGTAAATCATATTTGACTTTTGACTTCCTCAGGTTGTTCCTGACAGTCCCTCAGATTGACTACCTGGTGGTGCACTGGTTCATCTTCGCGTTCGACTTGACTGTAGCATTGTGGATGATGTGGGGCCGGACCAGACATGTATCCATGCTCTTCTGCGCTCTCTTTCATCTCATGAATAGCAGGCTCTTCAGAATTGGTGGGTCATAATATTTTTTAACCATTAAACCCGGAAATATGCTAAGCAAAAGAACCCAAGTCTTAGTTAAATTAAAGCTCCTTACTAGGACACATTAAGCAGCACCGATAGCAATGATTTTAAAGTGTAGTTTAACGATATTATCTCGTGACAGACAAATTGAAGGAAGCCATTGGATGGAATGAAATATTTGGTACATCTGTCTGCCAACAAATTCTGTCTTATAATAAAGAAGAGGCTTCTAATAATTTTTCTTTTTTAACCGACTTCGAAAAGGCGGAGGTACTCAATACGTCAGTTTTTTTTTATTGTTGTTCGCGCCGCGCATATCTCCGACTAGTTAGACCGTTAGTGGACCGATTTTGGTGATACTTTTTGTGAGAGTTTGTTAGCGAGATGGTCCCAAATAAATATGGTGAAGATCTCATAAATACTTTCGGATATAAACAACAGAACTCCTGAAATACGAACAGGACACATATCGTGTTTGGTTATTTTACGAAATATGAAAGGGAGATTGCAGGCCAGATATCTATATTTAGTAGGTTGATGTTACTCTGGCTTATATAAAGTGAAAAATAAAAAGCTTTTTAACAAACAAATAAACCGACTTCATTAAAACAAAACCACTAAAAATTAAGAAATAAAAATAATACATTTTCTCTAGTCAAAATAATATTTGGTGTCGGTGCCATGTCAACCTAAGTTGTAAATGAGAACACAGATCTATCAGATATGCATGGCACCGATTTAATGAAGTCGGTATTTATTTTTATTAAAAAAGTTAAAAGTTAACTTTTTTGTTCTGTTATTTGGACGCATTTCATCTTGTTTTCATCCCATAACAAGCTAGACATTTAGATTAATTTACACGATTGGAAAAATTTCAAGTGCCTGGTTAGGTGGCATTTCTCAATTTTAAACTTACTATGTACCTATGTTAGGTACAAGTACCTTTTTCTTAGTTACCTATGTTAGGTACTGATTTAATGCATGTCTTATTTTTAATGTTCTTATTTGACTCACATTCTAGACTCACTCGTCACATTGTAGATTTTGGAGTACCACCTACGAACGTTATAAATTTCATTGTGTTTATTTGCAGGTATGTTCCCTTGGGTATGCCTAGCTACGATGCCTTTGTTCTATCCATTTGATTGGCCAAAATTAATAGGGAAATTTGTAAGTAAGCACTCCAACAGTTTGCGAAATAAAATATGTTCGAATATACCACAATGTGCAAAGGAATTTCAATGCGAAACAGATCATTCAAGAATGGACGTTTACGATGAATGTTCATGTTTCGATGAAATACCAGAAGATCAAAATATTATAAACGATGAGTCCCTTGAGCAAACCGACAATGAAACTCAAGAAGACGGCGGACATGAAAATGAAGGGAATAACAAGGATCTTGTTCAAGCTTTTTTAGGTGGTAATGATAAAAAATGTATCTTTAGAGAAAAGAAAGAAAAATCTACACTCGAATTGGAGCATTCAAATGAATCAGATACTGCCAAGAATTTTACAGTATATATGATTATATTTCATATTGTTACCCAATTGTTTTTACCATTTTCACATTTTATCACAAAGGTAAACACTGAATAGTATTTACGTAAATCGTGGCATTAACATAATACGCTTTTACAAATTCCTACTGTTATTTCTAGGGCTATAATAATTGGACCGACGGACTTTACGGCTACTCCTGGGACATGATGGTCCATACTTGGGAGTCACATTCGACTATCATTAAAGTTGTAGACAACGAGAGACATCACGAGTTCTACGTAGACCCTAGCTTATTCACTCCCAACGACAGATGGACTAGACACGGAGACATGGTTAACCAATACGCGCACTGTCTGAAAAACAACATTTTAGACACGAATAAAAAGAGTAACAATCGCAAAATATCCGAAAACATATCAATTTATGTGGATGTGTGGTCATCAATGAACGGTAGATTTGCTCAACGCATGTTTGATCCTAAGGTAGACATGTTGAAGGCGAAATGGGCCCCTTTCGAAGCTGTGTCGTATCTGATGCCGGTCTTGGACGAAGCTTTGAGTTGGCGAACTATATTAGATGAGATCAGAGAAGAAGTACACACTTGGAATAACTATAGCGATGTCTCGTTTTTTGCTGACTTTCCCGGTAGGTACCGAATTTACACATTTAAACATTTTGCTTTAAACTACACCATTGATTCGTTGCAATACTGTTTGGTACATCAGTCAGATTCTTTATTTTGTTTACGAAAACAATCCTTAACGTAACGTAATTGCTAATAACTTGTTTTGTGGTGCTTTTTTAACATTAAGCAATTATTTCACAGAATATGCTCAAGAGAAATTCATACCTGAAGAACTTCAGAATGTCACTCTCATTGTATTACAGGGTATTATTGCTTACGAGCCCGAGCTTTCTGCACTTTTCAATGGTCAAACCACCAAACTAGAAACAGGCGATAGTATCCACATCGAACCAGGAACTTTTCACAAAGTTCTTAATATCGGTGAATCATACGCCTACTACATGTACACGTTCATCAACTCAACCGAAATGGCTGTTGGAAATAAAAATAATGTTTTGAAACCTAAGTTGCCTATAGGAAGTGAGTTGGCAAGAAGGTTCAGCAATATGATCAAATTCGGTAGCTTAATAATCAAGAGTATTTTACAATTATTCTTGCGAATGTCCACTTGCCAACAATAATGATTTCCTTATCTAAATGTAAGGTACTTATATTCATTCTATTGGTAAAGACATAGATGTAGATGGAAATCATTTAAGGCAAATCACTAAATTTGGGACACAGCAAATTTTTTTCACTGGCTCCATGATAATTCGTGCAAAATATCGAGTAGTTTAAGTGTGTACAACCTGTGCCATCTGATACCTGAAAATTGACCCACAACACAAGTTAATGCGAGTATGTATACGCTAATTGTACACACTGGTGCCAATTCTGGCGTGATTCTCTAAACTTAAAACTAAATTTAACATCAGTCTCTCCTTTTCATTCTGTATAGAGAATGACAAGGATATACTGCTGTCAAATTTAAGTTTAGGTTTAGAGAATCATGCTAGAATCGACACCACTAATACTATTTGATTAACCATTTTTGTGCGTTAGAAAATAAGTAAGATCTGAGGGCATTGGGATTTCCTTTATGAAGAAGTATCCATAATAAATAAGTACCTTGGTGCAGAGTCGGATTTAGAGGTCTGTGTATTATTATCACTGGTTCGATGTAGATATTTAAGTAATATAATCTACATTTGTATGTATAAATATATACTTACTTATATCCTCAAGTTACTAATCAAAGTGGTATCACCCATAGATATAGGATGTAAAGATAGACAGAGTACCTTTTGCAAGCTAAGCGGCACGGCATAAGTGTAGAACAGGCATTAAAAGTATTAACTTAAAGATTACTATTAATATACTGCGAAGCTATTTTCAAGGAGAATTTCTGAGGACTTTTTTATAATAATAATTACTGTATCTGGTATTATAATAGTAGTTATAGTTCAATAACTATAACTACTATTATAATACTACTTGTAGATGTTAAACTTAAGTAAGTAGGTATTATTGAATAAAATAAATATTTCTAACACTTGCCAATTTTATTAGCCTTATTTAAGGCAAATCACTTAATATGAGACACAGCAAATTTTTTCACTGGCTCCATTATAATTCCGGGAAAATATGGATAATCGAGTGAAAGAAATACCGACCAACCAACCCAGTAAAGGCCAAAACACACAGAAGCCGGAGGCGGAGGCGCTATTTTTGTATAGTTCGAATTAGTATGAAAGATATGTGTGTAGTCTTTCATACTAATTCATACTAGCCGGAGCAGTGGCTACTGGCTAGGCGGGGCGGATCGTACCGGCGACACAACCAGGCGGCGGGCCTGTTGCGGAGGCGGGGTAGTGCGGTGCCGCCGGCGCGGCGGCGTGAGCCGTGATCGTTGTATTCCCTATAGTGTATGGACTAAGGGTACGGCCACAGTGCACGCAGATTCAGATTCAGACTCAGAAAACAAGCGCGAGAAATAAACAGTGTAGTTTAAGCAGGTTGCCTGCTGCCACTATGGCCACCCTGCTTAAACTACACTGTTTATTTCTCGCGCTTGTTTTCTGAGTCTGAATCTGATTCTGAAACTGCGTGCACTGTGGCCGTACCCTAAGTACACATAGAGCGGCGCCGGCGCGCGACGTGTTGCGTTGCGGAGGCGCACTACTAGCGATTTATTCAGTTTTAAGTATTTTTTTATGAATTGTTCATTGAATAGTAATATTTACAATGGATTTCGGACTTATTGGACATTTTTTTAAACTTTCCACACGCAAAACACGCGACGCCAACACATAGGAGGCACCGAAACGCCGCCTCCAGCTTCTGTGTTTTGGCTATAACAGCGGCGCACGTTTTAGCTTAGAACATAACCGGAAGCGGTGCGGCAGCGGCCGAGAACAGTGTGAGGCGTGGCGGTCGTGTTTACAAGCTGCCAGGCCTACCGGAGTGGTAGCGGTGCGGTGGCGTTGCGGTGCCTCCTGTGTGTTGGTGATGCGTCGTCGCGTGTTTTGTGGGGACACTTTACAAAAATGTCTAATGAGTACGAAATCCATTGTAAATATCACTATTCGATGAACAAATTTGTAAAAAATTACTTACAACTGAATAAACCGCTAGTAGCACGCCTCCGCACCGTAACGCGCCGCTGCCGCTCTGTGGGAACTTACTCCATACATTGTATGGAATACAACGATCACGGCGCACGCATCCGGATGAAAATGGACATAGCAGCACAAAAAGTTCCATCAATGGATCTTTGCAATGGATTTAAGTGGATCGAGGGACATGATTTATTGTTTAATATCTCTGAGAATTTTTGTATTATTTTTTATTTTTCCTGTACTCTACCACTTGAGTAGGTATACATACACTCTAAGGGCGCTTTCAATTTATGCGTTTCTTGACGGCCTGCTGCGGTGCCGAAGCGGTGCGTTTGTCGTACAGCGTACGGAAGATCCTTTTTTTTCACACAAAACTAAAGTTAAAATAAAGTTCTTCTAACATTAAATGCAATGTTTGTTTACTTACCTACTTAGTCCGCGCCACCACCAGTGTGACCAGATTTTTTTTTGGCCAATCTACTATGCAACGTTATAAAAATCTACCAAAATCTACTGAACAGATAATGTGATCTACCAAAAAATATATCTTCTCTGTTATAACCATGGAACTAGGTTGTAGGTGCATCTACTAGGGTTTTGCGGTTGGTTTTCCCATAATCGCCATTGTCCCCTCGGATAAATTGACATGTTTCACAGAACACAAAGATTTTTAATATACAATCAATATTGTAAATAACTGTGAAATTATGTATTTATCGATAATATTTTGTTCATTACACATTACTTTGCATGAAACTGTCAAATTGTGAGATTAGAGCAATGACAAACGTGAAACAACAAACTGCAAAACCTTAGTAAATTTACCCTGTCACTGTTGTTATTTTTTAAATAAAAGTCCGGTAATATTTCTATGAAATAGTTTTATGTAAAAAAAACTGTGATTCTGAATTATCAAAATTAATTCTTTATTATTTTTAATTGCTTTATAATTAGTACAATAGGCTAGTTTACTCATGTCGAATTGTATTAAATAAATGTTTATTTCTTAAAGTGTTTAGTCTAAGGAACCTTAATATATCGATTTCACTTCATACAAGCAGAAGATTGCTGTAGAAATTTAATTTTAAAAAATATTTTTTAGTCTATATTTTTTAAACACTAAAAACGCTGTTCGACCCATTCGCCATGATTTTGACGTCTCTTGTGGTAAACAACTAAATGTCATTCGTGTGTTACTGTAGGTGGATTCTTTCGTCTGACTAAATTTATCTTAAAACGCTTTCGTCCGTGATTCACCATGAAAAATAAACATTGAGTTGAATCGAATGAATGATATAATCATGAATGTACAATGCGATAGTCTATCTCTTTCATACTTCACAAAAACCTGTTTAGGATATCCTGCTTTAGTTATGGTGTGAACTTCAAAAGGCAATACAGGGAATTCCCGCGTCCATAGACATACAAGAATTAGAATTTTTAGGGTGACAATCATCAAAAATTTAAATTACAGGCTCAATTCTGAAATCTACCAAAAAATACTGATTACTTTTTTCCTACTGATGAAAGGTCATAATCTACCAAAAAAGTAGAAATATACTGCATATGGTCACGCGCGCCTACACTCATGTCCGATCTTGTCCGATAGACGCGACGACGCGCGACGCCCCGGTCGTGTAATGAAATGTTGCCAGTAGGAAGAAACTTTCTCCCACATCCCATTACTACAAAACTATTAATGTCCCCACTGCTGGGGCACAGGCCTTCCCCATGGATGGAATAGGGAGATTGGGCCATGACCCACCACGCGGGCCCAGTGTGGATTGGCGGGTACTAACGACTGCAGATGCAGCCGGGACCAACGACTTAACGTGCCTTCCGAAGCACGGAGGAACTCGATATAGAAGATTTTTTGTCACCCATTCAATGACCGACCACTGCGAAAGTTGCTTAACTTCAACTATCGCAGCTGAACGCGCTAACCACCCGCGCCATCGAGCTCCTCGCTTTTTCATCGAGCGAATCGTTCGAACCCTATAAACCAGGTTGTTTATCAATGGTGTCCATTCTGGCATGATTCTCTAAACTTAAACCTAAATTTAACATCAGTCAAATTTAAGTTTAGATTTAGAGAATCATGCCTGAATTGACACCAATGTCAACTTATGATCTGTACCTACTATACATACTCGCCCGTCTACACCATAGAGGTATAAGAATAGAGTGAGGAAGGCGGCTCTAAAAGTGTCCGTCTAGTAGAAAGAGAAAGAAGCCGGTTAGCCTCTCTCTAATCGCGAATGCGCATTGGATGAAAAACCTACGGATGAATACCGACCAATCACACGACAGCGTCACAAGAGAGAGAGATAGCTAGCCGTCCCTCATCTTCTTTCTCTTTCACTAGTAGTAGAGTACATATCTCCCTACTCTATTCTTATACCTCTATGGTCTACACGCGCAGTGAGTGTAATTGGTGAGGAGCGGAAGATGCACGAGCGGGGTGGACCAAACGATGATAAGAACTTGTTTGTCAAGATCATAAACCGTTTTAACTCTCTACGCTACTGTCAGTGTTTCCGCTTTAATTATTTCCTTTCCCCACGCCTCAATTCAGATTTCCCCTTCTTAGGACATTTTTCCCCTCAAATTTTTTTTTTTTTTTTTTTTTTATAGTTAGGTCCGACAAATGACTCCACCTCACCTGATGTTAAGTGAAGGTGAAGTCCAGACGCGAAGATAGCTGATACAGCAGTTCTACCTGCCACACCAGCCATCCTCACCCTGCCGGCCTGCATGTTGCTTCTTCACGCCTCTTTTAAAGGATCCCAGGTTGTAAGAGGGAGGGAACACGTGAGCGGGCAGAGCATTCCATTTACGGATAGTGCGACAAAGAAATGAGTCACCAAATTTTTTTGTACGCGTTGGAATTGTGGCCACAGTGAAACGGTGACAACGTAGGCCAGCGCGCGTGGTCCTCTGAAGGAAAGGGGAAGGTGGGATAAGAGAGAATAACTCCTCAGAACACTCGCCGTGGTACAAACGATAGAACGCGCTTAGTGACGCCACGTCACGGCGTAATTGAAGAGGCTCAAGGTGTTTAGTCACCTCCTCATCGCCAATGATGCGGATCGCGCGCCGCTGTAACCTATCCAAAGCATCGAGCAAGTACTTGGCGGAGCCATCCCAGAGGTGCGAGCAATATTCCACGCAGGACCGCACTTGCGTTTTGTACAACAAGCACAGTTGATCGGGCGTGAAAAAACGCCGCACCTTGTTCAGGACTCCGAGTTTGCGTGAAGCTGTTTTGATCACGGTTTCGATGTAGTCCTTTGGATTCAGGTCTGAGCGAACTTCCATACCGAGCATGGAAATGTTGCTCTGCAGCGGTAGTGTTGTGCCCTGAAGAGATGGAAGGGGAAGGAATGGCGATGTTTTTGCCGTGAAAGCGCAAGCCTGAGTTTTCTTGGCATTGAACCCAACCAAGTTCCTGGTACCCCATTCAGAAATGTGGTCCAAAGCCTGATTGAGTTCAATGACAAGATTTTCCCGTTTCTCCCTGGTTACTGCATGCCCAGCCGCTGCTTGTCCGAGATACCCCGCATGCACTGTACTATCGTCTGCATAGCAATGAATATTTCCAAGAGGAATCAGGTCATTGATATGCAGCAGAAAGAGAGTGGGGGATAGGACGGAGCCCTGGGGAACGCCGGCATTCACTGACATGAACCGCGAACTGCTACCATCCGTAAGGACACGAATTCTACGCTCATGCAGGAAGTCAGCTACCCAAGAACAGAACTGGGCTGGCAGACCGTATGCCGGAAGCTTGGAGAGAAGGCTTTTGTGCCAGACCCTGTCGAACGCCTTGGCAATGTCAAGGCTGATAGCCAACGACTCGCCACGCTTGTCGATAGCCTCACCCCAGATATGAGTTAAGTACGCTAAAAGATCACCCGTCGATCGTTTCGGTCTAAAACCATATTGACGATCATTGATCAGGGAGTGATCCTCTAGGTAGCGGGTCAGATGGTTGTTAAGGACCTTTTCTAGGACTTTACATAATACTGAGGTGACTGCTATTGGCCGGTAGTTAGCCGGGTCTGAGCGATCCCCTTTTTTGGGTACCGGTTGCACGTTAGCATCTCTCCAAGTCTCCGGCACACGCCCCAAAGAATACGAGCATTGGTACAAGCGCGTGAGCACGGGAGACAACTCCGCTGCACATTTTTTAAGTACTACTGCTGGGATGCCATCAGGTCCACTAGCTTTCCGGACGTCGAGTGATTGCAACTCGGCACGAACCTCACGCTGCCTGATTTTAATATCAGGCATCGTTGTGCCACAGTGAGGTAATGATGGTGGCAGTGCATTGCAATCATCGATTCGGGAGTTAGCCGCAAAGAGTTTTGCCAGTAAATCGGCTTTCTCCTGCGGCTTATGAGCTAGTGTTCCGTCTGGGCATCTCAGAGGTGGCAGCGAGGGCTGGCAGAAGTTTTTTTGCACGGCCTTGGCCAAACGCCAGTAGCTACGGGAGCCCGCAGGATGCGTTATAAGTTCCTGGCCAACACGTGCAACACGCTGGGCATCCGCTCTGATGTAAGCCTTCTTACAGGCCTTGGAAGCAGAATTGTAGGCTGCTTTGAGTGAATCAACCCCGGGATCCTTGAGAGCGCGGCCTCTGATCCAAGCACGATATGCCGCTTGCTTACGCTAAGCAGCTTCAGCACAGTCGTGATTGAACCAGAGGTTACGTGTGCCCTTACTGATGAGATCAGAATGAGGAATATAGTATTCCATACCCATTATGATCTCCTCAGTAATGGCAACGGCACTGCCCGATAGGTCCCTGTCACTGAAGCAGCGCTGCTTCCAAGGGACGGACGCAAAGTAATCACGCATACCGTCCCAATCTGCCGACCCATAATGCCAGATACGGCGCTTGACCACTGCTGGACGCGGAGGCTTGGCCTGTGGTGCTTTGGCAGATATCAGGCAGTGGTCGGACGAGCCCAGGGGGGCTCTTACCACAACCTGATAGCCCTGTGGATGGGTCGTGAGCAGAAGGTCCAGTAAAGAAGGCGCTTGACTTGGAATATCTGGGATCCTGGTGGGCTGATCAACCAGTTGCTTCAAGTCATGCGTGAGAGCGAATGTGTGAGCAGAGATCCCTGCATGGTCAGTTTTGGAAGAACTTAACCACAAATTGTGGTGAGCATTAAAGTCCCCCAAAAACACCAATTCTGCATTGGGAAATCGCTCCTGCGCGTCATCTGCTGCCCGACTAAGGTGTTCAAAAAGTCGAGTTGTCTCAACATCGCTGGTGTGGGATCTGTAGAGGCACACGTAGACTCTGGCCCGGGGGCCAGAGTCGACGTGTACCCCCAGCATGGAGAAGGAGGGATCTTCCAAGCAGCGGAGACGGCGACAACAAACATCCGCCCGAACATACAGGCATACACCGGCTTTCGCTTTGAAGGACTCTTCAAGCACGTAGCCGGGATAATTAAGGTAGCCTGTGTCAGCAGGCGGAAGTATTTGTGTCTCCGTCAGGAACAACAATGCTGGCCGTGCTGTCTCGAGATGGTGGTGGACAGCGTTGAGGTTAGAGTGGAGTCCGCGTATGTTGCAGAACTCGACCTCAAACAGCGTTGAAGGCGTGGGGGTGTGCACCGCTGTACGCCCAAACTTTGTTATTGAGGCTGCCATGGTGGAAGTGAAAAAAAAAGAGACGCGAAAACGAGCGGACGCCGTCGCGAAGAGTCCGGGCAAATAAGGGGGGTTTGTTTTCCCGATTGACTGCCTGCAGTGGAGATGCGCCGACCCGCCGGACGGAAGGGCCCCCGCACCCCCCCGGAAGTGGCCGCCGGGACCCCACGCCCCGGTCACCAAGCGGCACGACGGTCCACCCCGAGATTATGCGTGACATGATGGGGCAGCCTCGCGAACTGGTTAGGAACGCTTGGGCCCCTGTACTGTGCCACGGGCGGCCAGCGGGACAGCCGTTTCTACGGGTCTCCCTGGCCGACGGGTCGATGCAGTCCTCCCGGCATCGGTTCCACGGATGCCTCCTCTGGACCGAATCCTTCGCGACAACTTCCACTCGAGCTCTGGTTGTACGCTGGCTGACGCCGAAACGCGTGAGAAGCACTTCACGGGTTTTTCACCATGCGCACGGTGGTAACAAACCAGGCGGGTGTTAGGCACCCTACCACCAGTAGAGCAGATGGAAGCTCCGACATCCCTTAGTCGCTTCTTACGACACCCACGGGAAGAAAAGGGGCGGTGAGTTGTATTCTTTCTCCGTCACCGCACGGATTAAATTACTCTGCTGTAGTTTTTAGATTTGGCACTAGTGTAGTAACTAAAGAAAAAAAAGGTCTTCATCTATCTTATTCTGTAACAGATAAATAAAATATATAAAATCTGCACGTGTTGACACAGTTTCTTTTATACGGCAATACTCTAGTCCACGGTATAGTCCATAAAAATTTTGTTCCGTGCCGCATTATTTTAGGCTAAGCTTTACCCATAATTTCCTGCAGTTTCCCTTTCTTCTTCTTTCATATCTTTCCCCTTTTTCTTCCCCTCTGGACCCTAATTTCCCCTTAAAAGGGGAATTTCCCCTCATTGTGGAAACACTGGCTACTGTACTTACCGAAGTGTAAATCAGCCTTAAAATAAACTTTTACAGGGGTCCGATTGATTTTTGCCCACTTGCACAAAACAAAAATACAATAGTTGTTCCATTACATTACCCATTTCATTAAATAACAATTAATATACTATACTACAAAGTTAATATGAAAATGAGCATCTCGATGAAAAAGCGTGTCGGTGGAACTGTGAAACCTTAGCCTAAACCAAAATCTTAAAAAAAATATTATAATCATTCTAGACGTCAAAATTTTGACCAATCAGTGAGATCTAAGCTGTTTCGTTTGACCAATGATAAACAACTGTTGTCAGTGGTGGGGGAGTAGCGCAAGGGTAGCGACAGCGAACTGTCATATTACTTTGACGTGACTCTGACAGGACAGAAAATGAAGTTGGGATACAGCGGCGCGGCGTGGCGTGTTCAATAAACTTGTTCATTCGTTTTCTGTCTTATTAGAGAGACGACATAAAAAGTTAAGTGCTGCGGCCATCGTCTTGTCGCCGCATTTATAGTCAACGTCAACGTGTCCTGCGATCATTACATGCATTACTATCATAGAGCCAGGACGCCTCACTTCCCTTCGAAATATTGACGTTTTGTCATCTGTGATATAACGATACTCGGTATCGCGGTAATTTTTAGGTTAAATCAGCTACCTGTGATCTGCGAAACTTTCTAAGAAGAAATATTTTCGCACAGTGCCTGCTCGTTTCAGTGAAAGACTTAGACTAATTTACAAACAATAATGGAGTCTAAATTAACTACCAACTTGGACATTATGCCGAATTATTCGTACGTTTTCGAATTTGAAAATGAGTTTCAACATAGTAAGTGTAGGCAGTGGATGACAGAAAATTGGACTGTGGCTTTTTATTATGTGGGGATTTACATGGCCTTCATTTTTGGGGGTCAATACTACATGCAGAACCGACCCAGGTGAGTTTTCTTACACATTTTACATTCGAATACCTAGCAATAAACATGATTTTCCTCAAAAAGAAAATCATTAGTGTTTATAAGTTTTTGGTGAATTTGGCCGAGATTAAATTAGCATCATATTAATAATAATAACTTTATTTTTATTTGTTTTTGTGCTTAAATGTGCTGCCCACATATATTTTCTAGGGTGATATAAATAGAGGTCCATCTCAAATACTTCATATGTACAATTACTAAATAAGTAGCAAATTTAATTTAAAAAGCAAATATAATATTTATCATAAGAACTCAAAAATTCAATCTAGACACCAACTACTGAGACTTTTATTATCTGTATTAGAAACTAAAAAAGGTTATCAAAAATAAACTTTCACTAAAAGTTGCTCTAGTTTTCTCTTCATAGCAGCCAGTGCAATTTTTGCAATGATATTAATGTATTCATATTTCATGATTTCCTTACATACTTTAAACTGTTCTTAAGGAATATCTAAATTATAATCAATAAATATAACAGTTTTTTCACTAGTAACTATTTAGTTTTCCTCATGCTGTGATATCTGAATTTATTGACTAGTCAAGGACTGTTCACGTTAAAAATATATAATAAATATGGGCTTGGGTTGATTTGTTTGAATTTTTCAGATGTGTCCATGATTTCTGGCTTTCTGTAGGCCTTTCGGTATGTGTTGCCTGCAGATCAAGTTAGTGGCCAGCTTTTAAGGACACATGTCTGGTCTAAATCAGTACTAGTCTAGCTAATATATAATATGGGTAGCTTTGTATTTTTGATAGTGGCATTACTAAATGGGCTCCCTTAGTTACTTTAGTAAATATAACATACAACTTTGAATAGAGTACTTTGAAAGATCTTACAATATTCAAATTTCATATGAGAGTAAGTTTTTTTTTTTCTATTAGTGCGGTGCACAGCTAGTTGTTCAATAATTCTGAAAATGAAAACGGAAAATGACATATGAAAAGGGCCTGAAACGTCAATAAAAATAGAAATACATATTTACACACTGTTAAAAGTATTTCATTTAATGATTGGAGTGAAAACATATGAAATAAATATACTTGCATCAATTTTTACTATGACATTTAGAATAATAATATTTTATGTTTTTCTATCAATGTCAGTTGAGTAACTGACTAACTAACCCTACCATAATTAGCCTCTACAATATCTTTTGGTTGATCGGTAGAGAACACCCATTGCATTAAGTTTGGCTAATAATAAAAAAAATATAAAATTTAAAGATGTTGCAGGCAGATTTTAGATTTAGCCAATTTACATACTGGCAAAACATGATAATAAAATATGTTTACCAATATGAGGGATTTTTTACTGTTAAACGTTTACTCATAATGCAATACAAACATGATATTGTCCATCTGCCAGTTTTTTAATATCTCAATTAAATAATAATGTAATTCATTCTACCTGCAATATTATATTACTACATTGTATTTTACTGCTAGATTTATAAATTTTGTTTTTATAATATACATGTACATGTTAAGGGTATGGATTTTTGAATGGTTTAATAAAATATAATACCAAAAGTATATTTTTCTGTTTTGGTTTTATCTAAATCTGGTTTGCTGTGAGCATCTGAGTAACGAAAAAATATCCTACTAATATTATAAATGTGAAAGTTTGTATGTTTATAACAGCATTGCCAAACGTCCCGATTTTTTAAATCAAAATTTTAATGTCCCGCGCGTGATATGTTCAATCCCGCTTTTCAGGAATAACTCGGCCGTGCGTGCATACTGAGAAAGCGCGGGCGGGTGGCGCAGACAAGGGTGGTATTTTACAATAGGGTAAATCTGATTTAAAATATCTGATTTTTATTAAAATACATTTTCTATCGATATTTTAACTAGGTACATATTTATTGTCACGTAAACGTAATTTGAACTCAATAACGATAAATATTACCGATACCGATACCGATTTTAAAAATGAAAATGAATTATTACCGATCAGAAAGGAAAATCTATTTGATGTTTAATTCTTGACCCCGCCTGACTTCCAAATCATGAACCAGATATTATTTTTTACTTTGTAGTTCCATTTTCGATTTTGAAGCCAGTTTTTTTTTTATTTCATCCATTTTTGTCAAAATTTTCATCTTTAGCAAAAGTTGCTGCAAGTTGGCCTAAATCATTGTAGCCGTTACTGTTAATGATATGTATATTTCAATTTTGATAACATCAATTTTGTAAACTCAGTACCTATCTATGATACTAGAATCTGCGTAGTAATTGGGTCTTCCCACAATAATTTCGCATTCATTCAATTTGCTGCGCGTGGGTATAAACTATTACCTTGTATGTTATATAACAATATTTCACTTCGTCTAGACTACATAAAAACTTGTTTTTTTTTTGTGCTCTAAAATCTGCTAAGTACTAGAAGACTACTTATGACTATACTACCTACATAACAAAATCTCAGATGCACAAAAAAATAGACAATCACAAAATACAACTGAATTGCACATTAAAAAAAATGCATTTATAATGAAGAGTTCAAAGTCGTGAAACTAATAAAAAAATGCTAATTACGAAAGATTTCGACACGTAGTTTTGGTACACGTAGTATAGTTGGGTTTTGTCTATCGTAAGTACGGAGGTAGGTACAGAGAAAATAAAATTTGCAACATACCCACCTACCGAAAGCCAATGCAAAGGCGAACATTTTTAGGGTTCCTATACCTGGCTACAACCACTGTGTTACTGGTTATAAAGGTATTTGTAAATAAACATTACGTACTTATTTTTTTAGTTCTTGTTTTCCATTTTACGAGAGGTATATTACCCTAGCGTAACAATTTCATAAGTCCATATCCTAAGGTATATAGTATTTTGTTGCTAATTTGTTGCTATTTTGTGCCGCAAGAATTGATTTTGTTGCTCCATGATTTCTCGGAAAAACGCCAGTTACGCTAGCGTAATATTACGCTAGCGAAACCACAGCGATAACTCGGAGGCAAAAGCAGTTAGAGAGATCAGATGAATGGCATATTTTGTTGCTATTTTGTTGCTGTAAGATAAGCTGGTTAGATATGAAAAATCCCCCCCCCCCCCTTCATGGGGGGCTAACTACCCTAATTCATAGATATTTCAGATTTTTCGTATCTCGTGAACTAAAGCAGCTAGCGGCACGAGACAAACGGCGTATTTTGTTGCTTTAAGGTAGGCATGCTGCGTACATCATAATCACAATCCTTATCGGGGTATGACCAACCCCCGACCCCAAGACACCAGATATTTCGTATCTCTTGAGCTAAAGCAGCTAGCGACCCGAGACCAACGGCGTATTTTGTTGCTATTTTGTAGCTATAAGATAGGCATGCTGCGTACATCATAATCACAACCCTTATCGGGGTATGACCAACCCCCGACCCCAAGACAACAGATATTTCGTATCTCGTGAGCTAAAGCAGCTAGCGACCCGAGACCAATGGCGTATTTTGTTGCTTTAAAATAGGCATGCTGCGTACATCATAATCACAACCCTTATCGGGGTATGACCAACCCCCGACCCCAAGACACCAGATATTTCGTATCTCGTGAGCTAAAGCAGCTAGCGACCCGAGACCAATGGCGTATTTTGTTGCTTTAAAATAGGCATGCTGCGTACATCATAATCGCAACCCTTATCGGGGTATGACCAACCCCCGACTCCAAGACACCAGATATTTCGTATCTCTTGAGCTAAAGCAGCTAGCGACCCGAGACCAACGGCGTATTTTGTTGCTATTTTGTAGCTATAAGATAGGCATGCTGCGTACATCATAATCACAACCCTTATCGGGGTATGACCAACCCCCGACTCCAAGACACCAGATATTTCGTATCTCTTGAGCTAAAGCAGCTAGCGACCCGAGACCAACGGCGTATTTTGTTGCTATTTTGTAGATATAAGATAGGCATGCTGCGTACATCATAATCACAACCCTTATCGGGGTATGACCAACCCCCGACTCCAAGATACCAGATATTTCGTATCTCTTGAGCTAAAGCAGCTAGCGACCCGAGACCAACGGCGTATCTTGTTGCTATTTTGTAGCTATAAGATAGGCATGCTGCGTATCATCTGGTGTCTTGGGGTCGGGGGTTGGTCATACCCCGATAAGGGTTGTGATTATGATGTACGCAGCATGCCTATCTTAAAGCAACAAAATACGCCGTTGGACTCGGGTCGCTAGCTGCTTTACCTGACGATATACGAAATTTCTGGTGTCTTCGGGGTTGGGGGTTGGTCATACCCCGATAAGGGTTGTGATTATGATGTACGCAGCATGCCTATCTTATAGCTACAAAATAGCAACAAAATACGCCGTTGGTCTCGGGTCGCTAGCTGCTTTAGCTCAAGAGATACGAAATATCTGGTGTCTTGGGGTCGGGGGTTGGTCATACCCCGATAAGGGTTGTGATTATGATGTACGCAGCATGCCTATCTTACAGCAACAAAATACGCCGTTTGTCTTGTGCCGCTAGCTGCTTTAGTTCACGAGATACGAAATATCTGGTGTCTTCAGGGTCGGGGGTAGGTCATAGCCCGATAAGGGTTGTGATTATGATGTACGCAGCATGCCTATCTTATAGCAACAAAATAGCAACAAAATACGCCGTTTGTCTCGTGCCGCTAGCTGCTTTAGTTTACGACATACGAAATATCTGGTGTCTTCGGGGTCGGGGGTTATCATACCCCGATAAGGGTTGTGCTTATGATGTACGCAGCATGCCTATCTAATAGCAACAAAATACGCCGTTGGGTTCGGGTCGCTAGCTGCTTTAGCTCACGAGATACGAATTATCTGGTGTCTTGAGGTCGGGGGTTGGTCATACCCCGATAAGGGTTGTGATTATGATGTACGCAGCATGCCTATCTTATAGCTACAAAATAGCAACAAAATACGCCGTTTGTCTCGTGCCGCTAGCTGCTTTAGTTTACGAGATACGAAATATCTGGTGTCTTCGGG